CAGGAGTAATACTGAGGCTCCCCTTTGAAGAAACCTGCGGAAAGGCCCTGGGGACATGGGATAGGGGATTCATGGGCCTGGTGGCTTGTCTGTGTCTCTCCTCCCACCCGCAGCCTGGCGAGGAGATGGAGGCTTGTGAGGAATTGGCACTGGCCCTGTCCCGGGGCCTCCAGCTGGACACCCAGAGGAGCAGCAGGGACTCCCTTCAGTGCTCCAGCGGCTACAGCACCCAGACCACCACCCCGTGCTGCTCTGAGGACACCATCCCCTCCCAAGGTACGAGGCAGCCTGGGGTTCCCTGAGCACCACCAGCTGGGTCCGGGGAAGCCCCTGGCGCGAACTCTGGTGCTGGGAACGATAAGGCCGATTCGGCCAGGTCGCTTTCCCTTTTACCCTCCACGGCCACTTCCGTGGCGAGCGTTCTCGCCTTCGTGTTCCACGTGGGACACTGATACTCGGGAACTTGCCCTAATGGAGGAGCAGGACTTGGGTCTGAACCTCGGGTCTGTTAAGAGTCTGAGGCCTCAGGCTCTGAACCTGTTGCAGCCAGATGCTCCGTTGCTGGTGCCCCCCTCACCGCTGCCCCATGGCAGTCCAGGCGGAGCACGTCCGCCAGAGTTGACCAAATCTATCTGTGGCGCATCGGTCAAAGCTCCTAGGACTGAGTGGGTCTCAGTGGAAGGCTATTTTGTGGTCCAGGGGACGTCGGCAACGGTCACACATGGAGGGGTGCTACTGGCGTCTAGCAGATGGTCAGGGATGCGTCTAGACATCTGTGACACACAGCACGGCCCCGGCCCGTATGCCAGTATGGCTGCTGCTCACCAACCGGCTCTCAGATGGTTAAGCTGTAGGCTTCCGCCTCCCGCGTGACCCCAGTTTTTGCGAGGAAATACTCACACCTCGTGGATGTTTTCAGTGGCTCGTTGCCAGTAGCTCCATTCTTCTTTCGGCCTTGGCCCGACTTGCAGAGGAGAGGTGGTAAGGGCTGTGAAGGTGTGTCTGAGGCTTCTCATGTCCACTGTGGAGCCGAGGGGGTGTGGGGTTTCTTGGCCCGTGCACCCCGCTTCGCCCTCCCAGGGATGCTCGGAGGGAGCGAGCCTGGCAGCGTGGCGAGCCCCACCGCCCTGCGGTAGTTGAGCAGGGGCCTGCGGCGTCCGGCGCTGTGCCAGGGTGCAGGGTTACACCGGGGGCCAGAGCTCCCTGCCAGCAGCTTCTCGGGTGTCCAGGGTTTCGAGGATGGTGCAGAGATGGGGGGCGGCTTGGGATGAGGTCGTGGGGAGAGCACCTGGCGTCCTGTGCCTTTTGTTCCTCCAACACAAAAGAACCGAAAAGCAAAGCTGCTGCCTTGGAGGGTCCTAATCGGATCTTCTCCTCAGTTTCAGATTATGATTACTTTTCCGTAAGCGGTGACCAGGAGGCGGATCAGCAGGAGTTTGACAAGTCCTCCACCATTCCGAGAAACAGTGACATCAGCCAGTCTTACCGGCGGATGTTCCAGGCCAAGCGCCCAGCCTCCACTGCTGGCCTCCCCACCACCCTCGGACCTGCTATGGTCACCCCAGGGGTTGCAACCATCCGACGGACCCCTTCCACCAAGCCTTCTGTCCGCCGGGGGACCATCGGAGCCGGTCCCATCCCCATCAAGACCCCCGTGATCCCTGTCAAGACCCCAACCGTCCCAGACCTCCCCGGGGTGTTGCCGGCACCTCCGGATGGGCCAGAGGAGAGGGGTGAGCACAGCCCTGAGTCGCCCTCTGTGGGAGAGGGCCCCCCGGGTGTCACCAGCATGCCCTCCTCAATGTGGAGCGGCCAAGCCTCCGTCAACCCTCCTCTTCCAGGCCCGAAGCCAAGCATCCCTGAGGAGCACAGACAGGCGATTCCAGAAAGTGAGGCCGAAGACCAGGAGAGGGATCCCTCAAGTGCCACCGCTTCCCCAGGCCAGATTCCGGAGAGTGACGCTGCAGACCTGAGCCCGAGAGATACTCCGCAAGGGGAAGACATGCTGAACGCCATCCGAAGGGGCGTGAAACTGAAGAAAACCACCACGAACGACCGCTCCGCCCCCCGCTTCTCGTAGGCTCTCTTAGGCTCCCAAGAAATGCTGCCAGTGGGGAAGAACTGTTTAATTCATAAAACCTAATTTGTCTCGATCCATTCCAATCTAGAATCAAACAAAAGATTTTGTAGGCAACTCAGAATACAGCTCTTTTGAAAGTACTCGATACCTTTAGATAAGAATTAAAAGCAACATACGTAACTGACATAACTTTGATCTTTTAATTTGTAAATATCGAGTTTTCTTTCTGCACATTTTAATCTTAGTTTCCCTTTTGATTTTTCTGAAGGTGCCAAATTCCATCTAACTTTTTTACAAGTCTTTGTAAAATTTTAAATGCATAATGGGTGGGGGGTGGTTGGGGCAGGGGAAACTCAAAAGTAGTTAATTTCAGAAAAAAAAGGATAACTATAGTCAGCCTTTTCATTTCTCTCTCCTTTTTTTTCCTGCAAGCTTTTGTAGATGCATTGTAGTAGTCTGGCTTAGAAGCAAATTCAAGTTATTTTAATGTACAAACAAAACGGATAAAGGGGTAAAAAATCTTCATTTAAATGTAGTATGTTCTGGCTGAGAAAAGCAGGCCTAACAACTGATGAGCAATATTCAGTGAGAAGTGAATCTGGAAATGGTAGACTGTTGGGATTGGGGGGAGGGCCGTGGGAGGGGCACACTGTCAACATAGCCGATCCTGTTAACATTTAAGAGTAGCCTTGTAGGTTGAATTTCTAGTAGCTTCATGGTAAATGCATCCGAATAAGCCATACTGGATTGCAGTGTTTGTTTCTGTAGGGTGTTTAAGGACTTCCTTTCTCCCACGATTCCTCCTGACTGCACACAGCACCCACCTCCAATCCCGTGCATGCTGCTGCCACCGGGTAGACCTAGACCCCCCCCCACTTCAGTTACTCGTCTCTTGTACCCACTTGCATTGAATCCAGATACATCCAAAAAGGGTAAGGCAGTTTTAAAAATGTGAAAAAACATTTTAAAATGATAGCAGGGAATTCTTAGACATAGCAAATGCCTTTTACTTACCTGTGCCCAGCAGGCTGGGTGCGTTGAAAAGCCCAAATATTTTGAACAAACTCAAGCGGATTTAACAAGGGTAACCAGCTTGGAATCTAGCAACTTGCCAATGTGTTTACCGATCTGGGGGCTTGTTTTTCTTATCTTCTGTTAAATAAATGGCAGTTAATTGGCATCATACCAAACAAACATTGAAGAGCGGAGGATTTATTTATCGTCACTGGGAATCCGACCACTATATTGTCCCTTTTTTTTTTGTATTCTAGGTAATGTTTTTTGGAATGGATTTATGTCTTTTCTTTTTTAAGTGAAAGTTAAATTTGTTCTAATGCCCGTTCCCTAAAGCCAACAGAGATTTGTAGATTTAAAGGGATCTTGTTTGGAGACAACAGTGTTTGAAAAAAACCAAGCAAGCCCCTGAGCGCTTGGGTCAGTTCCTCTTGAAGGAACAGGAGGCTTGGTGGGTCCCCCAGACCCTGCAGGTTTCTATTGGCTCTGATCTTCAGTTACATAACCTTATGCTTTAATACATAACTGCATTGGATGTGAGAGTAACGTACCTGTATAGTCACTGTTCTATATATTAACATTTAACACTGCTGTGATTGCTCAAGGGCATTTTATGTTATGGCTTTAAAGCAAAGGCATGATTATTAGAAACTATTTAAGCTTTTTTTTCTTTGAAAAACAAGCTCCTTCTACAGAATATAAGCAACAGTAGTGCCTGTGGTTTAGCCCACCAATCTTGATGACTAAAAGTAGCTGATGCATTGTGCATATGATGCTTGAGATGGTTTCTGCAAAAGCAGAAATCACTGCAAGGTAATTACAATAGATAAAAGTGGTATTTTAAACCTTTGAAATAAATGGATGTAACTGTACCTTGGTACAGCTTTTCACTTGTTTAGTTTTTAAACGTTAGTAATAATCTGAATAAATTTAATATAAAATGTTGCCAAATTCAATGTAGAAAGAATGTGACAACACACCTTGGGTAGTTCTGTTTGTGTTTTTGCATATTGTAAAAGCAGTGTCACAGCTAAAAATAAAGAAATCGTTTCTAAAGGTAAATTATTGTGGTTTAGTTGCTAGTTTGTACTGAGAGTTGACCTCTCCCTGTGCAGTTTTTTTGTTCTAAACTTGTATAAATAACAATTGTGTAACGTGTCTCCCTTCTACCTTGTAACAATTGCTTCAGCCTACATTATAAATAAAGAACCACTAGAAAAAGTCCTGAATGTCAAGACTTATTAAAATTCAGTTGCAAGTCTTCGTCAGCTGTTAGATGCACTGAGATTCCGATTGGGCTTACTTAGGAAACCGACAGAATGTTCCTTCTGGGATGGCGGTGATGAGCTGTCTCAACACGATTCTAATGAGTTATCAACAACTGAAAGCCAGGTCGGTTTGGCTGACGGTTTTAAAAATGGCTCCACCTTTTAAAGAAACTTCTTCCAACACGAAGGAGTTCTGCAGTCTCCTTACCTGGCAGTCCTCAGACCATCCAAGCTACAATAGAGGCCCAGAGCTGGAAAACTTCTAACAGAAGCGTCCCAGAGCAGTTTCACCCCAACCCCCAAGTCCCTGCTCCTGAGGGAAGCCCATAAACCTCATGCTTATTTTCCCGAATGTGTGCTGCTTATAGAGTTATCCTTTTAATCACACTGAAGTTTCAGTCGTGGCATCTTTAGAAAACCAAAAAGGTTATCTCAAGTCCTCAATATTTGCATACCTTCTCTTGACTTCATATTCCCTCCAGTCACTGAGCCTTCAACTAGAGCGTTTAAACAAATCTCAGAGTAAGTCCTGTATCTGGTTCTGCTGTTATCCCTGATAACACGTGCCACCAACAGGACTTACTGGGGCAGAGGACACTCGGCACCACACTAAGCCTCAGAAGGACACGTCAGTCACACCGTGTTGAGTTATTTTTATTAGGGCAAGTGTGTTACGTTCTGTAACTTATTTCACTTGCAAGCTGACTGGTGCGGTGTCTTCCTCTTCCTCTACATGGGCCGCTCCCGGGGCCTGGTTACAATGTGCCACCACAGGGGAGGCAAATCACCTTCCTTTCGGGCTGGGGGCAAAGCTTCAGTGGTGGGACCACCATGCGGGGTTTCTTCCTGCAGCTGCTTCACCTAGAAAGGGGTGATGGAGGAATAATTAGAGTCGAACCAACTGGAAAAATCTGCTGCACTGAGGTATCATCTTTGTGCCTGTGTCACATTTACATGCTTTCTGGTCCTCACCACTGCAGTGTTTTTTATATATACTTGCATTATGTTTATACCCCCAGTTTTACTCTAAAAAGCAATTCTTGGGGTCCCTGGGTGGCTCAGTGGTTTGGTGCCCGCCTTCGGCCCAGGGTGTGATCCTGGAGATCCGCGATCCAGCCCCACATCAGGCTCCCCTGAGGGAGCCTGCTTCTCCTTCTGCCTGTGTCTCTGCCTCTCTCTCTCTCTCTCTCTGTATAGGTCTCATGAATAAATAAATAAAACCTTAAAAAAAAAAATAATTCTTAAAGGTTTTCCTATTCTTTAAACAGCAAAGCTAAGATACCTTCCCACTGGCCTCTTACTCACCGTGTACGACTGACAATTCCCTTCATTACAGTCTCCTACCTATTCCCTCTAAAAAAAAAAAAAATACTGTCTTACTTGAGCGCTCTCTAAAAGCACCATTAGGAAACCTTAATTCATATATACTAGAAAGAGATACTCATTTTAAAGCCCCCCCCCCCCCAAATAGTAACCAGGACAAGAAATACCAGGAAGTCACATGTGAAAATATGCTTTGTTCTACTGGAGACTGCCCCCCACCACCGTTCCAGGGCTCTCCAAGAGAGTCACTGTCCTGATAGAGGAGGACACGTAAGAGACCCTCTCACCAGATCAAGGACTTTCCAAAGCTTCTTCCAGAAAACTCAATTCTGGATTGTGGGTGACCTGAGTCTCGAGTGTATGTGCTGTTGAATAGCGTTGAGATGAAATAAGGACTATTTTGTGGAGAGGTGATCGTTATCAGGGACCAACTAGGGAATGAACCTGCCGCTCTCCATGAATAAACACCCATCCCGTGTCCAGATGAGACGTTTTTTAGCAAACACTGCCCTCCTTGGTCATAGGTCTTTTCCTTTCACTCTACATTGGCCAAGGACTTCCTGCAGTTAACATCCTGGATTTTACCACCAGAAACCATATAACTTTGAAAGTCGTGAATCGGGTGTCTGGGTGGCTCAGTCAGTTAAGCATCTGTCTTTGGCTCAGGTCATGATCTCAGGCTCCTGGGCTCGAGCCCTGTGTTAGGCTCTGCGCTGAGCAGAGACTGCTTGAGGATTCTCTCCCTCTGCCCCTCGAGCCCGTGCACTCACGTGCTCTCTCTCTCTCTCTCTCAAATCCCACCATCTAACCACAGAGCCCCTCTCCAGCTCATGTGCTTAAATGTCCCCTTGAAAATGCTTCTTGAAACTCAGAAATTGCCAGTTCAGATTCTTTGACCCAACTTGTCCTCTGCATCAGCTCCTGTGTCCGTGCCTGCTTTTACCCACTTAGATCCCATCATGACAATCACTCCCTTCTGAATGGCCTCGAGTCTCTCGACTCGCTCCACTGGATATGGCACCATCCACCTTCCTGTCTGCACCCAGACAGCTGGTAGCTAGAAAGACAGAAAATGCTAGAACAAACCAACATCACAACACATTAATTATTCCCAGCTTCACGTGGGCCTTCACTGCTACCTGGCAATCCTATTATTATTCCCAGCAAGCTCATTCTCTGCCATGACTCCATCTTCTCCACATTCTCCCAACAGGCTGCACCCACTTCATGCCTCTTCCTCTTTGCTAACACAAAGATGCCATCACATAGTACTCTCACTTTTCCATCACCAAAACTTCTAGCCCAGCGGGATTTCTGTGCACCTTCCGTACACTTCTAGAATACGAACCTGTTCTCCCTTCAAAGGCCTCCACATGTGCTTGGGATCCCAATGCTCATCTCAAAAGCTTTGCTCCTTGACCCGTTCCACCTTTCTTCAATACTTAGTTTCTCCCTCACCCCAAATCTCAGCACACGTCCTTCGTTATTTCTTATCTTAAAAGACAATAATGCCTTGGCCTCCAGTTACTGTTCGAGAAACTTCTCAGGAATTCCTTCCCCTTTCCCAACAGCTATCTTCTCTCTCTTCCCTTCTGCTCACTCCTACCAGTGTGATTAAACCTTCCAGAAAGGCTCTCTTTAAGGTCACGAATGCCTTTCCTCCAGCCACAATCTGTGGGCGTTACCTCCAGTCCTCACCCTATTCCACCATTTAGCGATGACCAACACTGACCAGTCATTTCTGAAACACTTTCTCTTGGACTCGCTGTCACCCGTCTCCCTTGCTGCATGCTTGGCTGCCTCCTTTCCTCACCTCCATCAGTGGGAGTGCCTGTGACTTTTCTTCTCTTTCTCTCTTGAGGATCTCCCACATTTCTGTGGCCTTTGAAATAATGGGTAATTCACAAATTTGTTTTGAGCTCAAATCTCTCCTTTTCGAGTTCCAGATTCCTATACCCAAAGTCGCCTACTGACAGCTGCACTTGGTGGCACAGGATTCTCAAATACAACAAATTTAAGACAACACCTGCCATGTCCCTCTGACACCTATTTTTTTTTTTAATTTGTTTATTTGAGAGAGAGGGAGGGACGGGCAGAGAGGCAGATGCCCCACAGAGCACAGAGCCTGACATGGACTTCCATTCCATGCCCCTGAGATCATGACCTGGGCCGAAATCAAGAGTCAGATGCTTAAATGACTGAGCCACTCAGGTGCCCATTTTTTCCTCTTCTTTATCTCAACCACCAACAAACTCCAGGTATTAAAGCTGAAAACGTGGAACTCATTCTTGATTCCTCCCTGTCCCTTGTGGACCCCCATTCAGTCAGCCTTCACAGTCCCCCAAATGATACCCTGAATCCATTTCCTTCCCTATTCACTGCATTGGCCCTGGTGCTGGTTGCCACCAAACGGCAACAACCCCTAATTGGCCTCTCCACTTCTCCTCTTACCCTCTCCAATATATTCTTCTCACTCCACAAAGTTGAGCTTTTAAAAATGTAAACCAGACATCACGAGTGAAAAATGTCCGAGGTAAAAAAAAAAAAAAAAAAAAAAGTCCGAGGTGATGCTGGAAAGGAAAGTTAAGGGATGGGAGGGTGAAGCAAGGTCAGGCAGGGGACTGAGAAGGAGGGGAAAAGCAAACCCAGAGAGCAGGAAACCCAAAAAGACCAGTGACACAATGTCTCTCCCATTCACATGAAGGCTATAAATGTTACATTTACCACGTTTAGAAACGGAAGTATATTTGAGAGGCAAGGGGCCCCAGTGACAGTCACACCTGGAATCTGGACCTCTGCACCTGGGTAATGAAACCTGAGCCCCTTCCAGGCGCTGACCATGGGGGCCAAGCCGTGTGGTGAAAGGCAGTGAAGACTCACCTCCCGCTCCCAGCTTTCTCTCTGCAGCTTCTTCCACTGCTCTCTCTTGGCAAAGTAATCAGGATACATCGCCTTCTCGGAGGGATGCCAGTCATCTAAGCACCACTCGGGAACCTGTCAGGAGAGGAAATTTCTGACATGCCGCCTATGGGGCCTGCTCCAGAGGCAGAAGGCAAACACGACAGTGGATTTTTATAATCGCTGCAAGCATCAGATTGTTCTGGCACTACACAACGAACAGCAGAGGATGAGCCAGCACCGACATAAAGGAGAACACCTCCAAGAGCCAAGGGCTGAGAAGCCTCAAGGTCAGTCCCAAGAGAGCTAGCATCATTCCTCTCTGATCGGCATTCTCTCAATACCCACAGCAGCTTTATGGTGAGCGCAACTGTTCCCTCTAATTGCTCTGAAATACTAAGCACCAATCTGAATTGGTTACCTTTAAGATCCCCACAGGAGTTATATACCAAGTAATTTAGCACTTTGCTTTGCCAAAAAGACACTGTAAGACCCTGGAGCTGAATTTAGAAAGATAAGCCTGAGTGTCATCTGAGAGGGAAAAAACAGACCCCAGAAAAGAGAAATGTATTTACAACTGGCAGGCAAGAAATCTGCCCAGCTGCCCCTAAGAAGGCAAGTGGGTCTGGGGGCTGAGGTTTGGGACAGGAGAAAGTGCCTCTGGGAAGGCGATCACCAGTGCAGTGCTCACCTACCTTGTAACACTCGTACCTCTCATAAGAGGTGCCTCCTGGAGACTCGGGGAAGATGTAAGGCTGAGGATGCTGATTGTGCCAGAATTCTTCCTCTGCCGCCCTCAGCAGTTGGGTGGCCTTCACCATGTCCTTTTCATTCTTATGTTCTTCAAACCGGGCTCTCATCAAACAAGCAAAGTACCGGTATTTGTCCCTTTAACCAAAATGGTTTTGGAGATTAGAAATGTTACCTACTCAATTAAGCAGGATTACTGTCTGACAAGAGGCTGTACTTCTACTGACACCTTCTGGATGTGTAGCCTAATTACCTGGCAGCTCCCCAAACCCTGCCAATGGAGCAGCCACATCATTATGACTGCTTCCTCAGCAGCCCGCACTACATGGCAGCAGTAAAAAAAAAAAAAAAAAAAAAAAAACCTGTATTAAATACAACCTAACCACTTCCCACACCCCTGCCTTCCCCCTGCCCAAAAAGGAATGCTGATTCAAAAAAAAAAAAAAAAAAAAAAGATAATTTGCAGAAGAGAAAACTATAGCATCTGTAGGATCATTCAACACTCTTTGAGTGACAACTTACTGAGTTTCCTCCTACCTTATGTTATGTACTGTGCTAAATTCTGGAGCTACAAAGATGAGTAGGAAGGGAGGTGTTAGGCAATGGAAACAGTATTGCTTGAATCACACAGGTTGGGGTTTGAATCCTAATTCTGACACTAATTGCACAATTGTAGGGAAGGGAAGGTCAGGTTCTAGAAGAAAACAGTAGGCAGAGATCCTTTAGGCTTTGGCAATAATCCAAGCCATGTATAAGAAAGGCCTGGAGCAACTGTGATGGTAGGAAACAGGAGAGAAACATTTAGAGAATTATGAGTGTCTGCTAAAATCAGATCACTGGAGACTAAATCTCCACTTACTAGCTGTGTAATCTTGGATAAATCAATGTCTTTATGCCATAGATTCCTCCTCTACAGAAGTGTTAATAACAGTAACTAGATCTTAGACTTATCCTAAAGATTTGATGAGCTAAAACACATAAACACACTTCAGACAGGTACCTCCTCTCCATGTCAGCTACAATATCATACACTGGAGAGAATTCACAAAAACGAGTGTCCAACTGTACATAGCATATGGATACGTGTGTCACTGGCAGAGGAATAAGTAGGGAGTACTTAAGAAAAATTCTAAGACTTAAAGCTGAGTGACTGGACTACTAATAATGTTATTAGCTGGGACAGGGAATCTGGGAAGAGAAACAGAATGAGGTAATGAAAAGAGTTTGGTTTTAAAGCATTAAGACAAGTTTAGTTTCAGAGAGCTGTGGGTTATCTAACAGTTGGAAAACAGCTCTTGAGACAAGTAAGCCCTGATGGTAACTCAAGTCCCAGCCTTAGATGAGGCTGCCCAAAGTATATACAGCAATGACCAAGGACCTGGGATAGAAACAAATAGCACCAAAGACAAATGGAGGAAGAAAGTCCTGGGAGAGGACATCAGTGAGACTTCAGAACCACTGGGTCAGTGTTACAAGAGATGCTTTCTTTCTTTCCTCCGGAACTATGGACTTTAATATTCTCAGATGCAGTTCATTACCTGAATACTGGGAGCTCAATTTCCTTCATCTTTGTAAGACTGTTAATTCTGGGGGTGCTTGGGTGGCTCAGTTAAGCATCTGCCTTCACTTCAGGTCATGATCTCGGGGTCCTGGAATCAAGCCCTGTGTCAGGCTCCCTGCTCAGCAGGACGTCTGCTTCTCCCTCTGACGCTCCCCCTGCTTGTGCAATTGCATGCACTAATAAAATCTTTAAAAAATAATAGCACTAAGTTTTGGAAAAAAGATTGATAATTCTGGGGATCCCTGGGTGGCGCAGCGGTTTGGCGCCTGCCTTTGGCCCAGGGCGCGATCCTGGAGACCCGGGATCGAATCCCACATCGGGCTTCCGGTGCATGGAGCCTGCTTCTCCCTCTGCCTGTGTCTCTGCCTATCTCTCTCTCTCTCTCTGTGACTATCATAAATGAACAAAAAAAATTAAAAAAAAATTAAAAAAAAAAGATTGATAATTCTGTTATCTGTTTACATGTCCATCTTCCCCATTAATCCATGAGCTGCTACACCGGAGAAAGAGGACTTATTAATTTTTGTTTATTCAGTAGCCAGCACAGAAACTGAGTTGCAAACTCTGTCAGATGAATGAATAAGGAAAAGTCAAGGAAGAAACTAACAACCCAACTGACAATGAACCTGCCCATCTTTCTGTCTAGCAAGGAGAAGTAGTAGGTCAATGACTTTCCAATAAGCCACCAATATGCAACTTGGCTTTAAGGATACCCTCCACAGCTTCTCCAGACCTACTTAGATTTCCATCCTTTAGAAGTTCCTCCTAGAAGCCCTTCTCCTCGGACTAGGCTTTAGGATTCCCATGAGGCAGTGGAGGCCTGGCAGCCACACATCTTGGGCTGCCACCCGAGGATGCACTGCATCCAGATCATGAAAATGTGTTTTAAGACTATGTCCTAAGACTACTCACAGATGGAGAGAACAGAAAGAATTACGTGGCTGGCAAAGAATTTTGTGGATGTGAAAACGGTGAAAAGGGCGGCATGAAGCTAAAAAGAAGGGGACCTGTGATGCTTTGGGGTTAGCGCCTTAGTCTGAATCCTGGCGCCGCCAACTCACCAGTTGTAGGGCCTTGGCGAGTTACTCTCCACGCCTGTTTCCTTACCTGTAAAATAGGGCTAAATAGTCCCTAACTCTTGGAGTTGTTACGAGGATTAAAGAAAAGAATGCACACATTCCTGCTGCTCAGATTAGCAGCAACAAGGTCAGAGAAGAAAGCTCTTTTTTAGCGAGAGCCGGATGCACGACAACTGGAGCTGGAGGCGCTTCTTTATTTCATTCAATCCTCCTGCAACCCTCCGCGCTGGTCCTGCGTAGGTCTTCCTGAACAGAAAACCACCCTTCAAGGCCCCGCAACCGGGAGCGACGAGGCCTGGATTCGAACCCCGCTCTGTGTCTCTCCCACTTCGTCCCCCATGTCCTTGAGCCGCTCGGTCCCCCGGGGCCTCTCGGCCTCGGAGAGGATCCCCGGAGTCACCTCCCCGCGCCCCGGCTCTCCCTCGCCCACCTGTGGACGCAGTACGACTCCAGGTGGCGCAGGGCCCGCTTGTAAAGCCGCAACACCTTCTGCTGGTGGGTCAGGTAGGCGCCCGGCCCGCAGAACGCCATGGCCGCCCTCTCCCTCCTGCGGCCGCGGGGGCTCCCGGGAAGCCGGAAGCCGGGCCGAGGGGCGGGGCGGGGCGGCCGGAAGGGCGGGACCACGGCGACCGCTTCCGCTTCCGCTTCCGCTCCGCCGGGGAGGAGCCGGCGCTGCAGGCATGAGTCGTTTCAAGTTCGTGGGTAAGCGTCTTCCCGGTTCTCGAGCTTTGCTGGCCACCCACGGGCGTCGCCGACTGCGGCCAGGGGCCGGGGACTTGAGCCCCCCGGCTTTCTGAGGGTTGAGAGGGCGCGGGGAGGCTTCTGGGTGCCGCTGATGTTCCGCTTCTCGGCTTGGGGGCTGCGGTCCTGGCCTGCTCACCTGGGAAAATTAACGAGCTGTACGAGTTACGACTCAGGCTCTTTTCAACATATGCGTTGTATTCAGTAAGGGGAAAAAAGGAAGCAAAAGTAGGCCGAACAAAAAAGAGGCCACTCACTATATTGCCCTCCGTCCCACGTGCACCTCCCGCCCCTTCCTTCCCCGCTCGGTGTCGGAGAGGATGGCGGCTTCCAGCGACCCGTTCGGTCACTATTTCGTGCGTCCCTATCCCGGTTATTGAGCACGCCTGGTGGGCCAGCCGCCGGCCCAGGAAGACGGGGCGCAAAGACCCAGCCCCCGAGCCGCTGGCATCACCATCTGGGGAGAAACACAAGCTCTGTTACTTGCCAGGTACAGTAATCTTCACCGTCAGTAGAACAGGAGAGGGAGAATGCGACAAGAACCAAAGGGGTAAGAGTGTTTACTACGAGGTACCTGGGAAAAGCTTGGGGACATCGTGAGAGCTAGGACTGGAAGGGAACTGGGGACTCGGAGGTCTGGCTGAGTTTACTTTTACTCTGTATAGAGGGGAGCTTCGCTGAAGGCGCTCAGCCTTCGTTAAGTCATGGAGTGCCAGTTAGCTACCAGGAACCTTAGGCTCTGCATTACAGCAGTGAGTAAAACTGGGTGTGATTCTTGTCTTTGTGGACTTTCCAGCTCCTTGATGCTGGAAAACAGCAATGATCACATCTCCTCTTTAATAAGGCAATGCCTACAACTCCTGTAGGTTCTGTGGGGGGAAGAGAGAGATAGGGAAACGTTTCTGAGCTTAAACTAGAGCAGAGAAAGAGGGAGAGAGAGGTAGAAGAGATGTACAGATGCAGCATTTGGCAGCTGTGTTTATGGCAGTAAGGGAGAGTGAACAGTCCGAGATGACTCAGGGTTGGGATAAATACCTAAATATGAAGTGGAAGCATGATTAGTCTGGCAGTGGGTAAGAGATGTAGTGCGATCCATGTGGATTTGGTTAAGTTTAAGAGTCTTATAGGACATCCAGCTGGAAACGTTTACTGGGCAATTGGAAATGTAGTCTGGCATTCAGAAGAAACGATAGGATTATAAACTTAGATCTGAGAATTAGTTTAAGCATTATTTTTTTCCCAAAACTTTGTGGAACTATGGAAAATTCAGTGGTGCAGTTAATTTGCAGATCGGAGAGACAGGTACAGTCAGACTTACATAACGTAAAGTCAAAGCAAGTGCAGGGGAGAATGTGTTAAGTGCCACAAAAGTTTAAAAATGCTGTGGGAGAGCCTGGGGTGGGCTGGGGTGTAGTCCTCAGCAATTGTAGACATTTTCCAGGTGTGGTGTCTGCTTCTCTACTCTAGTCTGTGTACAGTCATTGGGGGAGATGGGCATAGGGCCATGAAACATTCCACAAGGAAAAGACAGCTTATTATTTATTTGTGATTTAAAACTAAATCCCTGCCTCCAGTCAAGTCTCCTTAAATCCATCATACATACAGCCTTCAGTGTGGTCTGTATAAGAATCAATTACATTCCTTCAGTTACTGTCCTCAGGATAGTTGAAGTCCTTGACACAACAGGTAAAACCTTCTTGTGTTCTGGTCCTGCCCATTTTTCCAGCCTCATCCCTTTTATCTTTGATAGACATTTGGTCGTGCTGTTTCTTGACTCAGACAATGTTTTAGAGTGGCAGTTTGGGACCATAATGTCACTTTTGCCTCTAATATCCCCCTGACCACTCTCTTGCTTGCTTTTTACTTGCTCTTTCAAACCTCATAATTCTACCTTCTGACACATTATTTTGTAATTAAATATTTATGTGTCTGTCTTTCCCACTAGACCACACACTTACGGCAAATATTCCGTAGTGTTTAATTCCCAGGGACTTAACACACTGATGGTTCAATGGAAGTACGAATGAATGAATGGGTAAAACAATATATACAGTTTAAGTACTTTGGTGGTAAGAAAACTGATAAAGGGATTTGAACAAGATAAGTTCAGAAAGACTTCTGGAAGAAGGTGGGTTTAATTAGAATACATTTTTTTTTCCCCTACTCTCCTGAGATAGCCAGTGTTAAAAAATTTTAAGTATAGCCTTCCGTAGTTGTTTAATAGATTTATACATAGAAGAAATTATTCTAGGGGTCGTAGGGGTGGTAGCAGTGGTGTGTAACTCTTGATGCATTTACATTTCTTTGGATGTTTTGTGTTTATCTTTGAAATAATATAGTGCTCTTTTTAAATTAAGAAGGTATTTTATCCCCTAAATCTTCTGAAGCAAAATTGATAATCCAGGAAATCTCAGTGTTACATACTCTGTGGAACACCTCTAGTTTTGTTTTGTTTTAGAGATTGATTTATTTTGGAGAGTGAGAGTCCATATGTTCAAGTAGGGGGAGGGGCAAAGAAAGGGGAGGGGAGAGAATCCTCAACCCGACTCCCTGCTGAGTGTGGAACCCCATGTGAGGCTTAATCCATCACCCTGAGATCCTGACTGGAGCTGAAACCAAGAGTTGCACACTTAACTGACTGAGCCATCCAGGCACCCTGGCACACCCCTAGTTTGAGAAGCATGGCTTTATATGGTTCCTATTCTAGCAGTCCCTGTCCCCCTCCGTGAGTCAGTGAGAGAGCAGCTGGCAGTAGTTAGTAGCATAATTATCTCTTTGGGCCATCCAGCTTTTAGATACCTAAGATTACTCTATAGTTTTCTTTCAGCAGGATTCTGGTCCTGTCCTGTGGCCCTAGAAGCATGCTGGTTGGGGCTTTGGGCCACTATTTTTTTGGTATAAATTCCATTTTCTTAGGGATTAGATCATATTTCCTATTCTTTGTCTTTGATTCCCTTGAGCAACCTAGTCATTCATTCATTCATTCTAAAATGCTTACTGAGTTTCTACTGTATGCCACCTTGTGTATTAAATGCTGGGAATTGGTGGTGGTCAGAAACCAGGTCACAGTCTCGTGGTGGAGATAGCCTCGTAAGCGCACTAATGTCTTTACCACAGTTATAGAGAAGAGGGCACCAAAGAAAGGGAACATGGTTCTCTGGGTATTTGGTGAGGAACAAAACTCTTAGTCTGGCAGGTCAGAAAAGGTCTCCCATGAGGAAGTGACACTTGAACAACTAAGCTCTGAAAGATTGAATTAAATAGGCAACAAAAGGCAGAGAGAAGGTTCCAAACAGAACAGCCTATGCAAGCATCCTGTGGCAAGAGGGCACATGGTACTTTTGAGAAACTGGAAAAAAAATCAGTGGATGTGGAGCAGAGAGAAATGGGGAAGGGGCCGAGCAGGTGGGAGGATGGCATGGAGGGAGCTAAAGAGATTAGCAGAGCCAAGATCCTACCATGGTAGGACTTCGTTTTTATATCCTAATACTGAGGAGTCCAGTTATCATGATCCTATTTATGAATGAAAGAAACGTTGGGTCAGGTAGAGAAAAGAATAGAAGGGGGCCAGAGTGATATTGGGCCTGGAGTTGGTTGACTGGAGTGTTATGGTAGAGGGTGAGGTGGAAAGGAATGCACAGGTTTGGTTGGGAGATAAAGGCCACCTACTCGGTAAGTGCACCTTGAGAGAGAAGCTGATGTCAGATTGCCTTAGTCCATTTGGGCTATTATAAAAGAATTGCAGATTGAGTGGCTTATAAATAAGGAATTTCTCACAGTTCTGGAGGTTGGGAAGTCCAAGATCGGGCACTACCATGTTTGCATTCTGGTGAGGACCCTCTTCCTGGTTTCTAGCTGCTGCGTTCTCATCGTGTTCTCATGTGGTAGGACCAAAGGGTCTCTGTCTTATAAAAGTGGTCACATCCAAAACAACATCCAGTCTAGAGCCATGCATTTGGGTGCCCTTAAGTTTTGTATCTTGCACAGAAGTTGGCCAGCTTTTTCCTTAAAGGGCCACATAGTGTATATTTTTTATTTTGTGTACATATGATCTCTGTTGCAAATATTCAGATCTGATCTGGTCATTCAAAAGCAGCCATAGACACCATACACACAAATGGGTGTGGCTGTGATCCAGTAAAACTTCTTGGACACTGAAACTTGAGTTTCTAACATTTTCTGCGTTTCACAAAATCCTGTTGTTCTTTTGATTTTTTTTTTCCTCCCCAGCTATTTAAGAATGTAAAACCATTCTTAGCTCAGGGGCAAACAAAAAATAGTTGCTGGTCTGCTAGAAATAGCTTGACCAACCCCTTGATCTAGCATATTTCTGTGGCATTGTCTCAGAGAAGCACTTGGCTGGTTGCCCCGCAGAGTTCTGTCTTTTGGATTTGTCTGATTGCTGTGTGCTGGTGTTCAGCTTGTCCTCTAATTTCCTGTACTTCCTGTAAAGTTGAAGTTCTATCTGAAGGCTAAGCAATTCTGAAATAACTTTAAATGCCCTATTTATTGTCCATTTGTATCCCTAGATTATAGGTAATGGTGATAGGACATGCTTCACTGAGCCCAGTGAGGCATCAGTCTGGAGATGTGGTTTTGTTTTAGCTGCAAGCAGTTTTCCACTCTTGTTTTGAGAACTAAAACTCCATACTGGAAGTAGTTTTTAGCAGTAAAGCAATTACTGCTTTTAAAGCCAGCCAGTTAAAAAAAAAAAAATTAGTGGAAAAGAAACATCACTGATCCTTACAAGATTACATACCACTAAGTGTATGACTCCCTCAACACCCCCCCTTCCACAGGAGTAATTTTCTACCTTGTCTTTTTTCTTCCTATCATGCTCTCACCCATCTTTTAGTTTTTCAAGCTAGAAATTGATTCTCATATACTATTTTAGTTTTTTTGAGTTTGTTGACAACAGACATAATTGTTGACAACATAGGAACTTTTTTTTAAGGTTTTATTTATTTGAGAGTGATCATGAGTGGGTGGATTGGGAGAGAGAGAGAGGGAAAGAGAGAATCTTAAGCTGACTCCATGCCAAGCATGGAGTCCAACATAGGGCTCTATCTCACTACCATGACCTGAGCCAAAACCAAGAGTCAAATGCTTAACTGGTTGAGCCACCCAGGTGACCCTGTGATAGAAACTTGTTAATTGAAAATAGAGTATCCCTTATTATAGATTAGGACATTTTGAACAAGTTAAATGAGTAGGATTTTTGAGTGACTTTATTTTCTTAGTTGCATAATGAGTTAGGTATAAAAAGATGGACTCACTTTGACTATTTAATAATGAATTGAGAGTGCTAACCACTGAAGGTGTTATGGCACTGTAGCTTATGTTAACTGAAATTCCCTGCATTACTGGCCTATTACAGGATGTATACTGTGCTCAGTAATAATAGTAAGTACATTTTATAAGGCTTTTTTTTTTTTAAGATTTTATTTATTTATTCATGAGAGACAGAGACATAGGCAGAGGAGAGGCAGGCTCCTTGGGGAGCCCGATGTGGGACTCAATCCCAGCATCAGGTCCTGAGCCAAAGGCAGATGTTCAACCCAGGCGTCCCTTTTATAAGGCTTTTAATTTGCAAAATACTTTCACATTCATTTTCCAGTTTGAGCCACATTTCGCCCTAGAAGGAGAAATGTTATGCCCTCTTTATTAGTGGGGAAACCGAGGCCCAGAAGACCTACTGATTTGCCCAACATCATTCAGTTTATTCTTCTTAAGGCCAGGAATTTTCATTCCAGAGTCCATTCTCTTTCCATAATTGCATTTCCTCCATTTCATTGTATTTCCTGGAAATTTGCTTACAAATTTATACTTTTTTGGCAATCAAACTGAACTTTTCTTTGACCCTTCCACATTGACCTGTTAATTACCTTAACCACCCTGTATGCTGGTGAGTAGGTGTGTGGGGAGTGGGAGGCCCAGAGGCCAGCCAGTATAGGAGAGGAGAACTTAGAGAAACAGAAGTCCAGATAAAGAATGTATTTGCCTCTTAGAGGAGGAAAAACTTCCTCTTAACCTATTAGGTACTGTGGCTGGTCTAAGAATTAAACTGACATAAGACATTACCAGGAGAAGAGCATAGACATTTTATTTTTTGTGTATATGGGGATCTTCAGAAGGAAAATAAACCCCAAAGAAGCTGTTAGGCCTAGAAGCATAAGTGGCAATGTGATAAAAGGGCTTAAATTCTCTAAGTTATGGGACAATGACTAGGAAGTATATGAGGAAAAACTAATGGAAGATGATGAAGGTTATTTGGGTTTGTTTGTACAGATTCATTTTGACTTTTACTCCTGCTCTGATATCTAATACAGAGATAACAGTATTCTTCTGTTCTTGATATAGGGAGGGTATCTTTTTCATGGGAAATTTTGTGACCTACTTTTATTAGGAGGGAGATCAGAGAGCCTGGCCTGCATCTGCTCTTTCTCCAGTGTATTCAGCTCAAAATAACCGATATGCCAAAGTGACACATTATGTTCTGACCCCCGTCTCCAAACCTGACTAAGGTGAAGCATTCTATTCAAAGGTAGAGAGCAGCTCTAACAACTGGCTGAGAAATAAACTTCAGGAGAACCATATGTTGGAAAGAAAAGGACCAACGGCTGTAAGTCACAAGAGATTCTTGCAGCAGAGGGAAGAAATTGTTGGCTGAGCCAGTGTAGGATATCCTAAAGCCCAAGGCTTACCTGGGTCCAAACCCAAATACAGGTTTTCAAACTACACTGTGACTTAGGGCCTGAAGGACTGACCTGCATCTAGAATTAGGTTCTGTGAGATAGTGGTATTACCTTGAATTGGCTTGAGCCGTATCTGCCTCAGCATAAAGTGCTGAAGAATGATTTAGCATCCATTCAAGTGAGGGTTGAGACTAGGAAATAGCAAGGCTTCAGAAACTGAGCCTCCAAGCCAATCTTCAATTTGCCTGTTTTAAAAATTACTATTTTATTTTTTAAAGATTTTGTTTCAGAGAGAGGATAAGTGCAAGCGGTGGGGGAGTGGGAGGTTATCAAGTCAGACATTTGGGGTGCCTGGGTGGCTCTGTTGCTTAAGCGTCTTCCTTCATCTCCAGGTCCTGGGATCAAGGCTAGAGTTGGGCTCCTTGCACAGCAGGGAGTCGGCTTCTCTGTCTGTCTGCCCCTCTGCCCATTCATGGGTTCTCTCTCTCTCTGTCTCAAATAAAATCTTTAAAAAAAAAAAAAAAGAGTTGTGTGCATAACTGACTGAGCCACCCAGGCACCCCTCAATTTGATTTTAAGATAAGTATCATAAAGTTTACTTGCTAAATTTGCTTACTTTTGTTTCCTTTGTTTTCTAGTAAAAGATTGTTTTGGAAAAATACTAATCTCTTCGCTGCACAAAGGGGAAATGAGCAGAAGAGATGCAGACCAAGTCTGTGCTCCTAATCATCTGTGGTGGGTGATTGTAGATGGAGCTTTGTGAAGGATTATTCTAGGCAGAAGAGCCTCTCTTTTCCTGGGTTCCCTTTCTCAGTCTGCCCCCTGCCCATTTCCTTAACTGAAAAAAAAAATAGTAGATGCTGAATTCTTGTCATCTGGGCCATTCCACTGAACCCCTATATTGTATTTATTGTATTCAATGTTTATATGTTAATAGTCCTTTCAAGGGTACTGGGTGTGAATTCATCTCCTACCCTCTATTGACATATATACTGTTGCTGAAAGATCTTTCAAGTTTTCTACATTGTGACTTTCTTTTGCTGTTTTCAAATGCCTGGAATACTCTCCCCACCATCTCTTAGATCATCCAAACTCCCATTCATCATCTAGTCTGTCTTCATGTTGAAGCAGCCCAGCTTACTGAGGCCAGCTTGGCAGAAATCAGAGTGAGACTATACCAAGAGGAAGCTGAGAGTAAGCAGAAATAATGTAAGGGTCAGTTGGCAGGCAAGTGCCCTCCACCATCATGAACTTGGAGATTCTCCTAATGCATATTTTTTTTATATTTCATTTTATTTTACTTTATTTGTATTTATTTATTTTTTAAGATTTTACTTATTCATGAGAGACACACACAGAGAGAGAGGCAGAGACACAGGCAGAGGGAGAAGCAGGCTTCATGCAGGGACCCCGACGTGGAACTCGATCAAGGTCTCCAGGATCACGCCCCAGACTGAAGGTGGTGCTAAACCACTGAGCCACAAGGGCTGCCCTCCTAATGCATATTTTAAATAAAGAAGGTATTATTTATTGCCCATAGCCATCACAGTCTAACTTCACATCTTGTTATTCCCCTGGTTCCCTTGTACTCTACAAGAGGATTTATCAAGAATGGCACTTTAGGGTTTTCGGGTGGGGGGGCCATGGAGGAAGAGTGGGGGGACGTTGCTACATCTGGTCCCTTGAATTTAGCTAGATAACTATCAAACCATTCTAAACATACATGAATGCGGCCTGAGATTTAAGAAAAGAATATCTGGAACTCTACAAGTAGAAAGGTGACCACTTTTTGTAAGGTAGGAGATGTGGAGAAGTGAATCTAAGGGGAGGTATAAGAAGACAAATGGCAGGGGGAGGGAGCCTCTGTAAACCAGCTGCTAGAAAATGATAGAGCCCCAGAGAGCAAGATTAGAAATATGCTCCAGTAAGAGACATCCCTCCCTGAAAGGTGCTCAGCTGGTGAAAGAGGCAGAATTCTAGGTGGGACAGTGGGGTCTCAGGATCCCTGGAGTCACAGAATTCTCGGGGTGCCTGAACCCGTAGAGGTCCAAGCAGTGGAGCAGGGAAACCGGTTAGGTCAGTGAGTCCAGGAATGGGCTGTCAGCTTGATTTGTCATAAACTGCAAGCTGGGCCCAATTGGGTGACCACTGTCTGCCTGGGGACCCTGCAGAGGACTAGAACTTGGGGACGTTCTGCCATCCCCTGGGAGGAGCAGAGGGGTGTGGGCACGAACCTGTGCCTGCTCTCAGTGCCAGGTACCTACAAAGTGCAGTAACGCAGGACTCTGCAGCTTCTCTGGAAAGGTAGGTGTGGAGGGGTGCTGTAGGGGTCTGCAGAGTTTGGCACACTCAAAAGTAAAAACTGTTTATCCCTGAGGGTTTACTGAAGAGAGGGGACTGCTATGTTTTGGCTCTGGGGCTGGAGTCCAGGGCATGGCCATCTTTATATTCATCCTAAGGAGGCAAAGCCTTCAGGGAACAAAAGCCATAGAGGAACAGCTTACACTGAGCTTGGCTCCCTAGAAGGATGCAGCACAACTCTGTCCAGGCAGAGACACCTAAAAAGCAGTGCAGCAGGCCCCTCCTCCAGAAGACCACCTGGAAGAACAGGTGCACAGCAAGTTTACAAACCTCACAAGACTAAAATTCCAGTTCTGGGGAAAACAGTATATAGAATTTGAGGGTTTTTTGTTTTGTTTTGTTTTTCATGATTCATTTATCTTTCAATTTAAAATTTTCCTTTTTTCCCCCTTTTCAACTAGTTTTTTATATCAACTCTGTTTTTAAGTCTTTATTTTAACTTTCATTTTTTACATTTACATTTTATAGTATATTCTTCATTTTTGGCTTCCTTTCACTTTATTCAGTTTTATTTTTGTATATATATAAATTTTACTATCTTTAAAATTTTGGGATTTAGTGTCTTTTTAACACACAGACCAAAATACACTCTGGAACAAGTGGATCACCCACCCCTATTTTGTCCATTCTTTGACATTATATTTCCCCCCCACCCCCCTTTTTTCTTTTTTTCCTTTGCCTTTTTTTTTTTTTTCTATTTTGGTTTCTGACCTCTTCAGAGTTGTCTAATGTGCATTTTGCTTTGCTCGTGGTTGTATTTTTAATTCTGTTCACTCGTTCTTCTGTTGTTCTCTGAGCAAAATGACTAGAAGGAGGAATTCACAACAAAAGAAAAGACCAGAGGTAATATTGTCACAAATCTAATCGATAGGGATAGAAGTAAAATGTCAGAGATAGGATTCATTATAAAAATTACAAAGTTACTAGCTGAGCTTGAAAAAAAAAGCATAAGAGACACTAGAGAATGTCTTAGTGCAGAAATGAGATCTAATCAGTCTGAACTTAATGCTCTGAGATGCAGTCTAAACTGGATGCTCTGAAAGCTAGGGTAAATGAGGCAGAAGAGAGTATAAGTGGCATAGAAAATAAGTTGATGTAAAGGAAGGAAGCTGAGGAAAAGAGAGAAAAACAAGTAACAGCCCATGAGGAGCAGTTTCAGGAAATCAGTGATGCCATAAAATGAACCAACATCAGAATTATTGGGGTGCTGAGGGTGAAGAGAGACAGGGCCAGAAGTTATATTTGAGCAAATCATAGCTGAGAATTTCCCTAAGAAGGGGAAGGAAACAGGCATTCATATCCAAGAGGTAAAGAGGACCCCTCCCCAAATCAATAAAAATAGATCAACACCCTGACATATAATAGTGAAGCTTGCACATTTCAAAAATCCTGAAAGCAGCTCAAGACAGAAGATTCTTAACCTGTAGAGGTAAGAGCATTAGACTGACATCAGACTTCTGCACATAGATTGGCACGCCAGAAAGGGCTGGCATGATATATTCAGGGTACTAAATGAGAAAAACTTGCAGCCAAGAATACTTTATCCAGCAAGGCTGTCATTCAGCATAGAAGGAGAAATAAAGAGCTTCCAGGACAGAGAGAAACTGAAAGAATATATGAGCACCAAGCCAGCCCTGCAAAAAAAAAAAAAAAAAAAAAAAAAAATACTAAGGGGGAATCCTATAACCCAAGAGAGAGCCCAAGAATAACATAGATCAGAAGGGAACAGAGACAATCTACATAAACAGATTTTTGCAGGTAGTACAATGGCACTAAATTCCCATCTTTTTTTTTAAGTAACTTTATTTTTATTTTTTCATATTTATTTATTCATGAGAGACACAGAGAGGCAGAGACACAGGCAGAGGGAGGAGAAGCAGGCTCCATGCAAGGAGCCTGATGTGGGACTTGATCCCGGAAATTTGGGATCATGCCCTGAGCCAAAGGCAGCCGCTCAACCATTGAGCTACCTAGGCATCCCCCTATCTTTCAATAGTTACTGTGAATGTGAATGGGCTAAATGCTCCAATCAAAAGACACAGGGTATCAGATTGGATAAAAAAGCAAAACCCATCCATATGCTGTCTCCAGGAAACTCCTTTTAGATCTAAAGACACCTCCAGGCTGTAAGTGAGGAAGTAAAGAACCATTTACCATGCTAATGATAGCAAAAGAAAGCTGGGGTGGCAATCCTCATATCAGACAAATTAGGTTTTAAAACAAAGACTAGTAAGATGAAGAGGGACATTACATCATAGTTAAAGGGTTTATCCAACAAAAAGATAACTATAAATATTTATGCTCCTAATTTGGGAGCGGCCAATTATATCAACCAATTAATAAACACATTGATAATCATACATTAATCATAGGGGACAGGTCATCTAAGCAGAAGATCAACCAAGAAACTAGAGCTTTAAATGATAGCACTAGACCAGATGGCTTTCACAGGTATATACAGAACATTCCATCCTAAAGCAGCAGCATACACATTCTTCTCGAGTGCACATGGAACTTTCTCCAGAATATATCATATACTTGATGACAAGTCAGGTCTAGTCAATACCAAAATATTTGGATTATTTGTCTAATGCTTTCTTTGCATCAATTAAGAGGATCATATGGTTTTATTAATGTGATCTATTGATCAAAGGAGTCAAACTCACTCTCCACAGATGACATGATACATTATGTGGAAAATCCAAAAGGCTCCACTCCAAAATTGCTAGAACTCCTACAGCAATTCAGCAATGTGGCAGGATACAAAAATCATTGCACAGAAATCCGCTGCATTTCTGTACACTAAAATGAAACTCAAGAAAGAGAAGTTAAGGAATCAGTCCTGTTTACAAAAACTATAAAATACCTAGAAATAAACCTAACCAAAGAAGTAAAGGATCTGTACTCTAAAAGCTACAGAACACTTATGAAAGAAATTGAGGAAGACACAAAGAGACGGGAAAACATTCCATGCTTATGGTTTGGGAGAATAAGTATTGTGAAAATGTCTGTGCTACCCAGAGCAACTTACGCATTCAATGAAATCCTTGTCAAAATACCAGGGAGTTTTTTCACAGAACTGGAACAAATAATCCTAATATTTGTTTAGAAAGAATGTTGAAAAAGAAGACCAAAGCTGGGGGCATCACAATGCCTGAATTCAAGCTATATTACAAAGCTGTGATCATCAAGACAACATGGTACTGGCATAAAAACAGACACATAGATCAATGGAACAGAATAGAGGACCCAGAAATGGACCCTCAACTCTGTGGTCAACTTAGCTTCGACAAAGCAGGAAATAGAGTGTCTTCAACAAATGGTGCTGGGTGAATTGGACAGCCACATGCAGAAGAATGAAACTGGACCATTCTCTTAACACCATATACAAAGATAAACTCACAATGGATGAAAGACCTAAATGTGAGACAGGAATCCATCAAAATCCTAGAGGAGAATAGGGCACAGCAACTGTTCGATCTTGGCCACAGCAACTTCTTAACTAGACAGACACATCTCTAAAGGCAAGGGAAACAAAAGCAACAATGAACTATTGGGACTTCATCAAGATAAAAAGTTTCTGCACAGCAAAGGAAACAGTCAACAAAACTCCCTACAGAATGGGAGAAGATATTTGCAAATGACGTATCAGATAAAAGGCTAGTATCCAAGATCTATAAAGAACTTATCAAACTCAACACCCAAAAAACAGTCCAGTCAAGAAATGGGCAGAAGAGGGCAGCCCGGGTGGCTCAGCAGTTTGGCGCCGCCTTCGGCCCAGGGCCTGATCCTGGAGACCTGGGATCGAGTCCCACATCGGGCTCCCTGCATGGAGCCTACTTCCCTCTGCCTGTGTCTCTGCCTCTCTCTCTCTCTCTCTCTCTCTCTCTCTCTCATGAATAAATAATAAAATCTTAAAAAAAATTAAAAAAAATGGGCAGAAGACATGAACAGACATTTCTCCGAAGAAGACATACACGTGGGCAACAAGCACATGAAAAATGCTGCACATCATTTGTCATCAAGGAAATACAAATCCAAACCACAATGACATACCACTTTACACCGGTTAGAATGACTAAAATTAGCAGGACAGGAAAAACCAATGTTGGTGAGGATTGTGGAGGATGGGAATGGGAGCTGCTGTAGCCACTCTGGAAAACAGTATGGAGGTTCCTCAAGTTTAAAACAGAGCTACTAAATAAAATAAAACAGAGCTACTCCACAACCTAGGAATTGCACTACTGGGTATTTACTCCAAAGATCTAAATGTAGTGAAACAAAGGGTCACCTGTACCCTAATGTTCATAGCAATGTCCACAATAGCCAAACTGGACGGAGCCAAGATGTCCTTCAACTGATGAATGGATAAAGAAGAGTGATGTATACATACAATGGAATACTACTCAGCAATCAGAAAAGATGAATACCTACCATTTACATTGATGTGGAGGGTACTATGTTGAATGAAGTCAATCAGATAGTTATATGGTTTCACTCCTGTGGAATGTAAGAGATAATGCAGAGGATCATAAGGGAAGGGAGGGAAAACAATGGGAAGAAATCAGAGAGGGAGATAAACCATGAGAGACTCAATACTGGGAAATAAACTTTGAGGGTTGCTGAAGGGAGGATGGGATAGTGGGTTGGGGCATTAAGAAAGGCACGTGGTGTGATGAGCACTGGGTGTTATACACGACTCATGAATTATTAAACACTACATCTAAAACTGATGATGTACTATATGTTGGCTAATTGAATTAAAAAAAAGAATGGCACTTGATTTTGGGGGTCAGATGATCCCTTCTTTTGGGAAGTTATCCTCTTTGTTGCCAGATATTTAGCAGCATCCCTGTCCTCAACCCTGGATGCCACTAGCATTCCCCTCGGTTGGGCCACGTAGAAATGCATACAGACATTGCTAAGTGTTGTGGAAGGGTGAGGTTAGAAGAAGAGAGGGGCTGCAGAATTGCTATCTGCTGAGGACCACTGCTCTGTAGGCTCGGTGAATTCTGTGTTATAGATGCAGTATGTGTCCACACATGTCCATGTTGTAGAATGCCCTTTCCATTTATCAGTTTGTAAGCTTTACCTTTGTTCAAGATGTAGCTCTGCTGTGAAGCTTCTCTCATCATCTTTGTGAAAATGGTTATAGCTCCCTCTTTGTGCTCCCATGCATGTAAAAATTATTTATAGACTTAACATGTATAGAGCTCCTATTATGTGCCAACCATTATGCTAGGTTCTAGGAATATTGCAATAAAAACTTTCTTGCCTTGTGTTGCTTAGTCTAACATAACACAAAGTATATTTGTAGTTCCCATATCGACTATAAATTCCTGGAGGACAGGGACCTAGTGTTGGGTCTTATTCTGTATCCCCTAACTCCTTATGTCCACAGTAAGGACACAGAGTTGGTCTACATGGTATTTGGTGAATAAAAGAAATAATTTATTCTGCTCTCTGCATCTCTGCTTTTATCACCCCGATAGAGGTTCTCATTGTAAATATGAGCTCTTTCCTGTTTCCAGATGAGATATGCTGACTCCATTTGCCCCCTTCAGATCCTGCCTTCTACAAAGACGCCAGAATGAGATGTCCAGAAGACAAATCTACTACTCTGCCAAAAGCCATCTGTGCTTCTTGTTGTATCTGGTATTTTAAAGACAGATGTGTAACATAGCTGAGTCTAGACTTTTGTGGCCACTCCCTGCTCTACATTTCTCTTCAGCGGCCAGAACAGCCTATGGCTCTTCACAGTCACTGCTCTCTCACATCCCAGATGCACTGCTTCTGCTTCCTCTGTTTGCAGTTTCCCCTCTTCTATGGGGAAACTCTAACTTATCTTTTCTGATTCAGTTCAGGGATCCTTTCTGGAAACTTCTAGGCCATCTATCAGGCTAGGTTGGATGTCTCTCCTCTGTGTCCCACAGTGCCAGTGTCTGCTTATTATTTTTAAATTGTCTGTTAATGTGTCTGCCTTCCCAATTCTGCGTTGAGTTTCTTGAGAATAGAATTCTATCTTATTCCTGTTTGTATCCCAGGTGTCTAGCTTAGTAACTGACAAGTGGTAGGCACTTAGATTTTGTTTGAATGAATGCAAAACTTAATAACAGGAGCTTGTATTTAACATAGAAATTTAAAATAGAAGCTCTTTTAACTTTTTTTTTTTTTTTTTTTAGATTTTCATGAGAGACAGAGACAAAGACATAGGCAGAGGGAGAAGCAGGCTCCCTGCAGAGAGCCTGATGGGGGGCTCAATCCCGGGACCCCAGAATCATGACCTGAGCCAAAGGCAGATGCTCAACCACTGAGCCACTCAGGTGCCCCTAAAATAGAAGCTCTTAATAATTATTTATTTTTGCTTTCCACAGATATCGGTATCAACTTGACAGATCCTATGTTCAGAGGAATTTATAGGGGAGTTCAGAAGCATCAAGGTAAATATATATATATATTTTAAGATTTTATTTATTTGAGAGAGAGAGACAGCAGGAGTGGGGAGGAAAGGGAGAAGCAAGCCCCCTGCTGAGCAGGGATTCCTGACCTGGGGCTGGATCCCAAGACCCCAGGATCATGACCTGAGCTGAAGGCAGACACTTCACCAACTAAGCCCCCCCCCAGGCACTCTGGTAAATGTTTTGTTTTATTAAGATAGTTTCTCTGTGAAGATAAATTTTATGCCTTAAGGTGATCATGAAAAGCATAATCTACTTTATCATTGGAATATTAAAGGATTTATTGTACATCTTGTTTAAAACTATACACAAAGTGAAACATATGTAAGCTATATGGGTAAACCACAACCATGAGCATTTATAAAGCACCTTATTATAATGACAAAGGTTACCAAGGCTGCCTCCCCTGAGGAGGTTTATAATTTCAAATATAGAACTTTAACCAATGCGTAAAAGCCAAACAACAGTTAATTGATTAGTCTTTTAAGCAGTTGAATATAATTAAAAAAATCACATGCGGTTGAACATTAGTATAATACCTTGTCTTTTGGTAACGTTTTTCAGCTGAATAACAAAGCAGTAATGTGATTAAGGAGCAGGTGCACTGCTGCCCTAACTTCCCTGCCTTCCCTCTTTGCATCCAAGTCCTGCCAGATTCCAGATGCCTATGGGATAGGTGAGAATAGACAGTGGTTTCTTAAAGAGTGGTGGAAAGCATAGCCAAAGCAAAATGGCTTATATTTATCCTATCAAGTTCATTCAAAAAGTGTGTTTTGTCAGCTGGAGTAAGCAGGAAATGATGGTGACAACACATTTTTGAAAGGAGAATTTCTCCAGTAAACCGGTTTATGAATATTGCCTCAGAAAATTCCTGTACTTGTTATTATATAAATGTGAACAGGAAAATTTGATTTTGTGGTCTGGGTGAAGCGGAACTACACATTTCAGCAATTAAGTCAAAGCTAAGTTTACTGTGCTTCTAGGTGATACTAAATGAAAGCTTCTCTAAATACAGGGAATGTTAGATGCTACTTGAAAAAAAGAAAGCTAAACTTAAGCTTTTATAAGCCTTACCGCAAAACTTAAATTTTCTACTTCATTTACAAGTTTAGATAATGTTTTTGTTTTATGTTAAAAAATGTTAGGTACTATAGGCAATTGAAAAAATTATTTTCTGATTTTCCTGCCTTTGTAGCACTTAACAGCTTTCATGCTTTGTGACTCTGTATAATTTTGTATGCATGTATTTATGAAATAAGTTTTATTGTCATCAATATCAGTATGAGTGGTTCATAGTATTTAGCAAAACTGGTTGTCTTAGTTTAAGTTCACTAAGTTGACATTTTTTGTCTAAAAAATTTTATAGCTACTCTAGAAGTAATTTTAATTGAATTCTAACCAAATTTACTGTGATAATTAAATGTGAAATTAACAAGTAGATTTTTATTCTAGAATTGTTTGATTTTGCTGTCCATTACCTTATGTCTCTGAAAGCTTAGCTTTTTATTGATCTCCCCAGAAAAGCTTGTTGTTATTTAACACGAAATTTTGGGGAAAAGCAATAAACTGTCAGAAAATAAAAATTATCCTTCCCTTTCTATGGGAATAGAAATTACAGAAATACAGCATTAACTAAAATTACAAAGATGTTTTATCATGTTTTGGAAGGCATTACAGATACATTTTGAAAAGTCCTAGTAAAAATAAGAATCTTAATGATGATTTTATTTTTATTAAAAAAATACAATACCAACAAGTTTCAAATTTAAGGCAACTGACTTTTTTTTTTTTTTTAAGATTTTATTTATTTATTCATGAGTGACACAGAGAGAGAGAGAGAGGCAGAGACACAGGCTCCCTGCATGGAGCCTGACATGGGACTCTGTCCTGGGACTCCAGGATCATGCCCTGGGCTGAAGGTGGCGCTAAATCGCTGAGCCACCCAGGCTGCCCGGCTTCTTAAATTATAGTGAGCAAATTCACCTTTCTTTTGAACCTCCTGATTTTTGGCACTTTTCTCCTTTTTGATCAACAAAATAAAATACAATAAAATGGATAAAACTAGTCATCTAGTTTGCCTTTTTTGGGTTTCTTTTTTTAAGGTTACTGCTGATTATTATTAGGTAAGTACTTATCAAACAGAATTGATTTGGTAAATATAATTGTTTCTTTGTATTTTTCTTTCAAGAAGGGATAAGTAAGTGAAATTTTTTTACCAGGTTTTCTTAATGTGGATTTGCTTTTCACAGATGATTTAAAAGATGTAATAGAGAGGGCTGTCCAGATTGGAGTTAAAAAGGTAACATTTTGTTTTCATTAAATGTTTTTCAAATAATTAAATTTGGTTAAGAGACTGTAGAATAGAAGAGAAAGAGCTAATGCCACACTTGGCATTTTGGGCTGTGCATTGTCAACAAGTAATATTAGCAAGTAAATGAAATACATCAAAATTTAAGTGACACAGACCTCATGCTTGGATAGTTCTTTCATGTGAGTAGAAATGTAAATGGCAAAGTCTCTGAAAAAAAATTTTTTTTTTTTTCTGAAAAAAATTTTTAAAGCCTATCTGAATTACCAGGCTTCTCAAGATGCAACTCTTTTTTTTTTTTTCACTTTTCAATTAAGGGTTTATTATTTTTTTTTAATAATACATTTATTTTTTATTGGTGTTCAGTTTACCAACATACAGAATAACACCCAGTGCTCATCCCATCAAGTGCCCCCCTCAGTGCCCGTCACCCAGTCACCCCCACCCCCCGCCCTCCTCCCCTTCCATCACCCCTAGTTCGTTTCCCACAGTTAGGAGTCTTTATGTTCTGTCTCCCTTTCTGATATTTCCCACACATTTCCTCTCCCTTCCCTTATATTCCCCTTCACTATTATTTATATTCCCCAAATGAATGAGAACATACAATGTTTGTCCTTCTCCAATTGGCTCACTTCACTCAGCATAATACCCTCCAGTTCCATCCACGTTGAAGCAAATGGTGGGTATTTGTCATTTCTAATGGCTGAGTAATATTCCATTGTATACATAAACCACATCTTCTTTATCCATTCATCTTTCGATGGACACCGAGGCTCCTTCCACAGTTTGGCTATTGTGGACATGGCTGCTAGAAACATCGGGGTGCAGGTGTCTCGGCGTTTCATTGCATCTGAATCTTTGGGGTAGATCCCTAACAGTGCAATTGCTGGGTCGTAGGGCAGGTCTATTTTTAACTCTTGGAGGAACCTCCACACAGTTTTCCAGAGTGGCTGCACCAGTTCACATTCCCACCAACAGTGTAAGAGGGTTCCCTTTTCTCCACATCCTCTCCAACATTTGTGGTTTCCTGCCTTGTTAATTGTCCCCATTCTCACTGGTGTGAGGTGGTATCTCATTGTGGTTTTGATTTGTATTTCCCTGATGACAAGTGAAGCAGAGCATTTTCTCATGTCCGTGTTGGCCACGTCTATGTCTTCCTCTGTGAGATTTCTGTTCATGTCTTTTGCCCATTTCATGATTGGATTGTTTGTTTCTTTGGTGTTGAGTTTAATAAGTTCTTTATAGATCTTGGAAACTAGCCCTTTATCTGATCGTCATTTGCAAATACCTTCTCCCATTCTGTAGGTTGTCTTTTAGTTTTGTTGAGTGTATCCTTTGCTGTGCAAAAGCTTCTTATCTTGATGAAGTCCCAATAGTTCATTTTTGCTTTTGTTTCTTTTGCCTTCGTGGATGTATCTTGCAAGAAGTTACTTTGGCGGAGTTCGAAAAGGGTGTTGCCTGTGTTCTCCTCTAGGATTTTGATGGATTCTTGTCTCACATTTAGATCTTTCATCCATTTTGAGTTTATCTTTGTGTATGGTGCAAGAGAGTGGTCTAGTTTCATTCTTCTGCATGTGGATGTCCAATTTTCCCAACTCCATTTATTGAAGAGACTTTCTTCCAATGGATAGTCTTTCCTCCTTTATCGAATATTAGTTGACCATAAAGTTGAGGGTCCACTTCTGGGTTCTCTATTCTGTTCCATTGATCTATGTGTCTGTTTTTGTGCCAGTACCACACTGTCTTGATGACCACAACTTTATAGTACAACCTGAAATCTGGCATTGTGATGCCCCCAGATATGGTTTTCTTTTTTAAAATTCCCCTGGCTATTCAGGGTCTTTTCTGATTCCACACAAATCTTAAAATAATTTGTTCTAACTCTCTGAAGAAAGTCCATGGTATTTTGATAGGGATTGCATTAAACGTGTAAATTGCCCTGGGTAACATTGACATTTTCACAATATTAATTCTGCCAATCCATGAGCATGGAATATTTTTCCATCTCTTTGTGTCTTCCTCAATTTCTTTAGAAGTGTTCTATAGTTTTTAGGGTATAGATCCTTTACCTCTTTGGTTAGGTTTATTCCTAGGTATCTTATGCTTTTGGGTGCAACTGTAAATGGGATTGACTCCTTAATTTCTCTTTCTTCAGTCTCATTGTTAGTGTATAGGAATGCCATTGATTTCTGGGCATTGATTTTGTATCCTGCCACGCTACCAAATTGCTGTATGAGTTCTAGCAATCTTGGGGTGGAGGCTTTTGGGTTTTCAAGATGCAACTCTTTTTTTTTTTTCCAAGATGCAACTCTTAATAAATTTTATAACATAATTTATCATTTGTTAGAATTCAGTGGTTATCAGAAAGATGTGTATCTGTCACCAAGTTTAGCTTTTATAGTATGGATACACCTTTTCAAATAACTTCAAAGACACTTTAATTTTTATAGTACTTATTTGATTATCAGGGAAATTCCACTTTTTAAAGAGTTCTAAGCAAATGAGTATTAACTCTGTCAAATTATTTGATGAGATACTTTTTAAGTAGTATTTTAAAAAAATATCAGGCGAACCCACATATGTACACTGGAGGTTAGGACAGTGTGGTGTCACGATATGTAGTTGCGGCTTCTTAATTGAATAACCTCAGATTTAACAGACTAATGACCCTGCTGGCTTCCGAATTCTGTAGTCCCAGCTCTGAAATGTAGAGTCACTGTTCACAAGTAATAAGAATGGATAAAAGTGACAGCATTCGGGATCCCTGGGTGGCGCAGCGGTTTGGCGCCTGCCTTTGGCCCGGGGCGCGATCCTGGAGACCCGGGATCGAATCCCACATCGGGCTCCTGGTGCGTGGAGCCTGCTTCTCCCTCTGCCTGTGTCTCTGCCTCTCTCTCTCTCTCTCTGTGTGACTATCATAAATAAATAAAAATTAAAAAAAAAAAAGTGACAGCATTCATTGCTGATTATCCAGTTATTCTCTGCATGGTAAATCACTTTATAAAATGCTTTTCTGCAAACTCTGAAACACCAAGCTCCTAAATTTTCATGTGTCAGCCATGAATAATTTAATCCTGACATTGGAAACATACACACTCCGATGTAAGAATGGCAGAAACAGAATTTACTTGGATGTGGTTCCAAATCAGAATCTAATGTAGTGCCTTGCAGCTACAATGTAGTGATTAAAAGCACAGCTATGGTATCACACAGCTGGGTTCCAGCCCCAGCTTCCTTCTCCAGAGCTTTGTAACATGGGTGCTTATCTCTCTAGGCATCAGTATTCGCATCTGTAATTTGAGAATAATAATGCCTAATTAAGGGAATTGTGAGAGTTAAATAAAGCTGGAGAGCAAAGCACTTGGTATTGTACCTGCATAGATACCCTCTACTCTATTAGGTTGATGGTGGAAGCCACCATCATTCTAATATCACCATTGTGACCTGGGAGAGGAAATTTCGTCCTCTAGTCTTGTCCTTACTTTTTCACCTATTTGGGAAAGTTATAGATAAAATAAAAGATAGACATGCATAACAACTATTTTACAGAATTGCAATACTAGACATGGGCACCTGGTCTTATATTAAAGAATTAGGTAGTGTTAGTAAACAGTCAAGTTCTCCCAGTATTTTTGTTAACATCTTATACCCTGTGTTTCATAAGGAGTTGAGGATTTAATTATGGCTGTGCGTTCCCTGAATAGATACTCAGGTTGCTATATGAAAACATCTGCTCATCATTTGTACTTCCTCCTGTGTTGTGTATGTTTTCTCTTTAGGCGTGGACCTAGAAGGAATTCTTCATTTTAGCTCAGTGAGGTGCTTGAAGTGAAATGCTTAAAAAAATCCGTGTGTTTTATAAGTCACTTCTTTAAAAGGTTGTATACTTCAGCAGGACTGCCTCAGTAGCCACCACCCACACATTGCTCTTTGGTGATACTTTCCTTTTCATACATTGTTTCTGACTGCCGGTGGACCCTGAGGGCTGCCTCTTTAGAAGTGTGCTTTTGTGCCAGGAGCCATCCATGTCCTTACAAAGAATTCAATATACATTAATCCAGTGATTGTCAAACTTTTGGTCTCAGAACCCATTCACATTCTTCAGTATTCTTGAGGATCCCACAGAGCTTTTGTGCGTGTGTTTTATCTGTTAGTATTAGAAATTAAAACTGATAAGAATGTAAAATATCTATTAACAATAAGACATTATATAACATAAGTAGCTTATTTTTATGAAAAATAAGTATCTACCAAACCAAAAAAATGCAGTGACGTGAATGGAATTGTTTTATCTTTTTTTTAAATATCTCTTGAATGTCTGGCTCTTAATAGAGACTGCTGAACTTGGAGATCTGTTTTTGCAGTCAGTGTCTTGTGCTGTTACACATCATGTAGCCTCTGATATATCTCATTGCACACTTGTGGCCAAGTGAGAGAGAAAAAGGCAAATAGCGTATTAGTATTATTACGAAAATAGTTTTGACTTCGCATTCCCCTGGGGTTTCTGGGACCACACTTGGAGAACTGTTGAATTAATAAACACTACTGAATCCTTAGATGAATAGAATTCTAAATTCAGAAGTCTTTAGTTATTCAGTCTTTCATAATGTGATCTAACAGGAAAAACAGACCTGTGAATACATTTTAATAGGAAGGAATGACAAAATCTGCATGGCATGTATGCTTGTATGTTTGGAGAGACCACTCTACATAGGAGGTGACCTTTCAGCGAGATTTTAAAGGAAGGGTAAGTGTGACAGAGAGAGAAAAGCATTCTGGAAAAAAGCATTAGGAAGGCATGTTTGATAAGCTGTTGTTGATACTCTATTCAAGTGGGCTTATTTTATTTCTTTCTATTTCAGTTTATGATTACAGGTGGAAATCTGCAGGACAGTAAAGAGGCACTGCATTTGGCACAAACAAATGGTATCCTCATATTGCTTTTACCTCCCAAAAATATGAATTAAGTTATTTTGGAGAAATCTTTCTAAGAACTGCCTCAGGTACAATACAGTGGATTGTGATGGTAGAAACAATAGAAAAATAGACTGATTGCAATGGGACAGTGTTAAGAGGAAAGAATTCAAAGTGCTACTTGGTGTATCAGATGTTTGATTAAACCCTCTCTCTCACTGTACTTGAGGATTATTTTAAGATTTCAGTAACGAGAATTAAGTTCACCACGGTTTAGCCTCACATATTCCTGATGTAGGGTTTTGTTTTTTTTTTTTTTTTTTTTTGGTATGTTGTAATGTATTTAAGATGTGTGTTGCCTAAAAAAAAAAAAAAAAAAGATGTGAGTTGCTTTTCATTTGCACATTTTAAATTTAAACTGAAGGATCATTTATTAAATATTTATCATGCAAACCATTGTTGTAAGGCCCCAGGAATGCAAGTAATAATATATAATACTCATTTTATGTTCATACATCTTACATTTATTTAAAATCTATAAAGTTTTGGAATTGGTTCCTAAGGGAATCCTAGTTAAAGAAAACATCTACTTTATCTGGCATTCATTTTATCTAATTCTTTTTGGTTCTGCTTTTTGGCAAGCATGCTTCTTGTGCTAGATGTTGAAGAGTTAGGCCTTCTGTGTTACTTTTCAAATTACTGATTTACTTATTAAAAGTTATTTTTTATGGAAAGCTTTCAAAAATGCATACTTCTCTTCAGCATCCACTGACATTTTTCCTTAGTGATTAAGATAAAAGTAGTCATCTTCTCAGATGCCTTTGGGGGTATAAAAATATTGTCTTCCATATTTTTTACCCCTAAAGAGATATGCTTTTTTTTTTTTTAAATGAGAGGAGGAGATTTTTTAAGATTTTATTTATTTATTCATGAGACACAGAGAGAGAAAGAGAGTCAGAGATACAGGCAGAGGGAGAAGCAGGCTCCATGCAGGGAACCCGACATGGGACTCGATCCCGGGTCTCCAGGATCAGACCCTGGGCTGAAGGCGGCACTAAACCGCTGAGCCACCCAGGCTGCCCAAGAGATATGCTTTTAAAAGTTCTTGAATCTCACTTGTCAGCCCTCATCACTCATCTTCCTGTACCTGCGTCCTCACTGCTTTAAAACCTCTGCCTCCATGTATGTAAACATCTGTAGAAGAGGCTGAGGATGATCCCCACCCCTCTCATGGGTTCAGGTGCAAGCCACTTCGAAGCTGTTTTTGACTTCACGTTTGTGTTCCATACAATTATAGCTATCAAATAATTGCATGTCTCCAAATAAGTGAACTTTATTTTTTATTAGAAAAACAAATCCCCCTTCCATCTCTTTGAGTCACCCTTTTTAAGGGGAAGAAATCTATCTATCTATATATATATATATAATTACCATATTGAATAGATGAAACAAGACAGTGATGTGAATAGTAAATATAAAAGATATAATTAAGTTATGACATTTCATTCTCCTAAGAGAATTCTCCATTCTACAAGACTCAGTAAATACCAAGCTTTGGAAAGAGTTGAATTAATTCCTTTTACAAATATGTTAAGGCAATTTTCATATTCCTATTTTGCTTTGTTAAGATATTCCAAAAATTATTATATGATTAAGCTTATGTAGTTCTTGTAGTTCAGGTAGTTTACGACTATTGTTAAAAAGTAACCAGTTGAAATTATTTGATCTATCATTTTTGTATATTAAATATATTATGGAAAATATTTTGAAAATAATCCTAAGACATTATTTTGTGCTAGATATGTTTTTCAGTACAGTTGGATGTCATCCTACCAGATGTGATGAATTTGAAAAGAATGACCCTGATCATTATTTAATGGAATTGTTAAACCTTGCTGAAAACAATAAGGGGAAAGTTGTAGCAATAGGAGAGTGTGGACTGGGTAAGTGCCAACCTACTCTGTTAAGAGTGACTTTGAAAGTGATTTGTTCTGTACTAAAGTTAATGAGTACTTATTGGTTCTTTTTTTTTATCTTTTAAAGATTTTGACCGACTACAGTTCTGTCCCAGAGATACTCAGCTCAAGTAAGGAAATTTATTGACTTTAGAAATTATCGCAAAATCTTGAGTAGATTTTTTTTTAATAGCTTTTATCCGTTCAGAATGTAGTTGGATTAAGCATCAGGATTTTTTATTTTTTCCTTTGTATATCAGAAGTTAAATGAAACAAATTCCATGCATACTGGAATTGCATGCATGGAATTCATAAGAGATGGAAACATCCTTCCTAATTGATTAATCATATAATTTAATTTTAATAGTAGAAATAAGGGATGAGTTTTACATGATGGAGACTTTTGTTCTTTGCCTAATGAATGTATTCATGCATGAACCATTCCAATGAAATGATTTAAATTCACTCATGGGGGGCATGATTTAAGAGCAAGGAGTATTAAAGAGAGATTACAGGATCAATCACCAAAGCAGGAAGAACCTGTTTTACTCTTGCTGGGCACTGGATATTGTCAACTAAGAATGTGGGGTCTTTTCATAGGAGTCATGCGGAGAGTGGTGGCTTCCCAGAAAACCCCAAAGTTCATAAACCTTGTAGACTTCCTATAACTCACTGTCTATACCTTTTAGTTGGAGCTCCTGTCAGCATACCAGTGAGTAGTGTTACAGGCCAAAAAGGAAAATTAGGTCATAGACTTAATTTAAGACATGAGCATTTTGTTGCATTTCAAAAACAACATATTATCCAGGAGATAAAACATTAGAATAAATCCTCTTGGAGCTGTTTGGTGACATATGTTAGAATAAATCCTCTTGGAGCTGTTTAGTGACATGATGCTATGTTTTTCAGGGACATTCACATGATTACTAGCAGGTAACCTACCTTGAATATCATTATAGATCAGCTGACTTACCTTAAAAGTTCACATACTCATATTTAAATAGAAAAATAGGGATGCCTAGGTGGCTCACCGGTTGAGCATCTGCCTTTAGCTTAGGGTGTGATCCTGGATTCCCAGGATCAAGTCCCACGTCGGGCTCCCTGTGTGGAGCCTGCTTCTCCCTCTGCTTGTGTGTCTGCCTCTCTCACTCTCTGTGTCTCTCATGAATAAATAAATAAAATAAAAAAAAATAGTTGACTGTTTCTTAGGTTAAGCCCACATATCTTAATTCCTCCATCTTATAGTCTGTTTTTGGCCAAGATGAACCTCTTGAAGCAAACAGGACTGTGTAGGGTGTGACAATCAACGACAGTGGCAGAGTCCCTCAAGATTCCCTGCCCACAGACTTTTATCCAGATGCATTCAAACTGATTCTAAAATGCAACCTAAATATCTTAAACTCATTTTTTTTTATTTAATGTAAACATTGATAGTTCTATTTTACTGCTCTGAGGATATTTCCACCATCACCTTAAGATCAGAACGTAAGGGACGCCTGGGTGGCTCAGTGGTTGAACATCTGCCTTTGGTTCAGATCATGACTCTGAGGTCCTGGGATTGAGTCCTGCATTGGGCTCCCCACAAGGAGCCTGCTTCTCCTACTGCCTATGTCTTTGACTCTTTCTGTGTTTCTCTCATGAATAAAGAAATAAAATCTTAAAGAAAAAAAAGATCAGAACTTAAAACAATATGTATAGCAGGATATAGTTTGCTTGAACACGGATGCCAACTGCCCAGGTATTGATCTGTACTAGAGAGTTTAAACTCCATTCAGTAAATGATTATCAAGTGTCTCCTTAGTGTGATACAAAGAATAGGCTTGGTTCTGATGAGAGGACATAAATAATTAAAATGGGTTGAAAATGCTAACAAGGCGTATGACAATGGGAGGGAAGGACTTTCTGGGGGGAAAAGTTAGGGAAGACTTTTAATAAGGTGAAGGGGGTGTGAGCTAGGCCTCTTCCAGAGTAGATAAAGTTAAGGACAAACTAAAGTATAGTATAAATTTTAAAAAGATGGGTGGCTCAACTTGAGATTTTTAAGTTAAAACATCAAATAAAACATCAAATGATTTAGTAAAAAGCACACTAGTAGAATCCCATTTGGATTGTTGTTACGGAAGCAAATACCCCTTTGCTCCCTCTTTCCCCTAGCATGTGCTCAAAGCATGCAGTTCCTTTCCCGCACACACGGTGCGTAGTACTTGTTAGAGCCTTTCTCACGTTGTCCTAGAAGTACAGCTATGTTACGCCTTCCCATCCCACAGCAGACTAGTGTCTGAGGTCTGCAGAGGCACATACCCAGTCTCAACTCATGTTGTAGTGCCCATAGCACCATGCACAGTACTCTCAGCACGTGGTGGGTACTCCATAAATGTTCACTGAGTTTTAATTTTTTATTTAAAGATTTTATTTATTTACTCTAGAAATAGATGGAGAGTGAGCGAGAGTGTGAGAGACAGAGCCAAGCAGGGGGAGGAGCAGAGAGACAAGGAAGGCAGACCCTGTGCTGAGCACAGAGCCCCACACGGGGCTAGATCCCATGACCCTGAGATCATGACCTGACCCCAAAACAGAGTCAGACACTTAACCAACTGAGCCACCAGGCACCTCGTTCACTGAGTTTTTAATAAGGAGTTTTTAATAAGGTGTTTTTGATTCCTGGAGAGCAGCATGGATAAAAACCCTATAATTCAGCTTTTGCTGTTGGATCTTTTTTTGGAAGAATTTAGATTTTGAGCTGTTGTTTTATACCATCTGGGACAATTAACCAGTGTATGACTTGTTTTTGTTTTTTAAGTAAAAATGCAGTCAGGAAAAAGATGTATGAGAAGAGAAAAATAGTGGTGTGATGGATTAGTAGGCAAGACAGATCTAATGTGCCGTAGACACTGGCTAGAAATACTGTCTGAGATGTAACGTTAAGTAAAGGTGGTTACTAAGTGTGCAGGGTGGTTCTCTTTGGAATCAACAGCTTTGGGTTTGAATCATAACTGCCATTTGGTGGCTGTCTCTTCGTAGACCTCAATTTCTTCATCGTTGAAATGGGGATAATACTGCCTTTCTTAACATTTGTTATGTAAACCCCATAGTAACATGCTTGGCACAAGTAAGTGCTCAATACACTGTGGTTGTGGTGTTATTCTTAGAAATATTTTCATTCTAAAGAAAATACAGGATATACTTTTTCTTTGGGGCTTTTGAAAAGTATTTTTTTAAAGAGCAAAAAAACAAAACATGATAAAGGGAAAAGCCGAATTTTGTTGTGGATAAACATACCCTGTGTTTTCAGTTTCTTTGCCTGATGCTACATTCCCTTTTCTTGTTGCAAGTTTAGAACTCAGTTCACTTCCAAGTGGGAGGAATTTGCTGTGGAACTTTTCTTGGGGCTTTAAAATGTTAATACTGTGCAGGTCTCTGTTTTTGAAAGAAATCTGGCATCAGACAAGATTTCAAACTAATCATTTGGGGACTTAGGGAACCTCAGAGATGAGAGATTGAGGCCATCCCTGTCCTCGGCCAGCCTAGAGGTGGGCTCGTTGCCAGTTAAGCTGCAAGCTGCGCTGCTGGAATACTCTGGGCGTTTTGGAGTGGCCTGGATCCGTATTCCCAACAGTTACTCTGAAGCTGACCTTTTCAAGCCCTTAGTTATTGTTGACCCTAAAATGTTAGAAGCAGTAATATAGTCAGAAGCAAATTGCAGCTTCACTAAAAGGAGAAATCTAACTCAAGCAAACAGTGCTTTTCATATGCGAACTAAGATAAAACACAAAAGAAGCAGAGAAGTCTCTGGATAGGTGCCAGTTCCTACCCTGTAACTTAGGCTGTTTCTAGTTACCATGGTGGGGTTTTTTCTTTAAAGGCAGTAGGTACTTAATGTCAAGTACCAGTTTTCCTCGATTTATGTCCTTAGGAGTAATTGGCCTCCTTAAGACACCTAGCTAGCTTGAGTGCATGGACCTTTCTTTTCTCATATGCAAAATTCTGGAGGCACATTGCTTGAAACATCTGTTATTTTCATAATTTGTACTTTTGCCTGCTGTGAGGGGTAGGCTTATTCCCAAGGTGATCATTAGATTCTATAAATCTGTGGCTCGGTTGTGTGGCTTTGTACATAGAATTTTGTGTGTGAAAGAAATGATCCCAGTAGAGTGGGAAGCATGAAGCAGAGTGTGTGTGTGTGGTGTGTAGCCAGAAGTCAGATACATGGTAAAGTTTACGTAATGACTGGAGCACACTTAATTGCTGACATTTGAATTACTTTAGAGATTATGGAAATAGTGACTTTTCTTTCATGATTTCATTTGTTTCCTACACTGTGAAAACGAAAATTATTTTTCCTTATTCTAGCCTAGCAGACTGTGAAAAGGTGATTTAAAAGCCTAAATATTGTATAATAAAGACAAAGACCACCAACATTATGAAAACTATTTAATAAGTACACTTCTGTTTTTAATTTTAAAGATTTTATTCATTTGAGAGAGCACAAGTTGGGGAGGTGCAGAGAGAGAGAAGTATACTCCCCACTCGGCCTGGAACCCAATGGTGGGGCTCCATGTGAGGCTTCATCACAGGACCCAGAGATCATGACCCAAGCCAAAGGCAGATGCTTAACCTTATCTGAGCCACCCAGACACCTCTGTTTCTAATTTTAAACTTTAGCATTTTCAAGAGTACAAAAGGAAAGGGTACTCCAGGAAAATGATTGTCCTGTACTTCAAGGAGACAAGATAGAGGAATATATAGCAAAAGAATTTAAACACAGGGGATCCCTGGGTGGCTCAGCGGTTTAGCGCCTGCCTTCAGCCCAGGGCGTGATCCTGGAGTCCCGGGATCGAGTCCCACATCAGGTCCCTGCGTGGAGCCTGCTTTTCCATCTGCCTGTGTCTCTGCCTCTCTCTCTCTCTCTCTCTCATGAATAAATACATAAAATCTTAAAAGAGAATTTAAACACAAGGTGTTCCCTAAAATTAAGGTGCCTAGAAGAGGTAAACTCCTATAGGAAAATAAGAAATTTATTATCTAACTTCTGGTTCCATCTTTACTGCATGAACATGAATGAGAATGAGTGAGCACCGCACTGAGAAGACAGGGAACCCCCACTTACCCCCTCCTCCCAGCACTGTTACATCTGGTGCTTGTCATTATGCCGCGGGGCCAGAAAGTCTTCTTTGAAATATCACAACCTATAGTCATTTTGGCTGGGACCTGGAATTAGAGCACTGAATTCTGGTTGCAAGTTTGTCACGTTATGATCTTGGATGAGGTCCTACATCCTCTGACACCAGCTCTTGTCCTATTCTAGGGCTATTTTGTGGGTCAGATGAGATAATGACATGTGACACTTGAAAACCTTTTTTATAAAGTATTCTCCAAACATTCAGGGCTGCCATTTTATCACATAATTTTTCTTTGAAAAATAGTTTTTATGCTATTTATTTAATAAATCCTTGTGTTTAGTGGTAGTAATTTCTTGTATATCAGCACATGGCAAACACTGAGTATAGAGTTTTGCCTGGCCTCTCACTAGAGCGAATTGACTGTGACTGAGGGTGCCCAGCAGCTCTGGGCTAGAGGCCGGTGGTATAATTCTTCTCCTCCAACACATGCTGCAGGGAGGGGATCCCACAAGTGATGGGAAGGTGTCTGCTTTTTTTGCTGGGGTTTGGTGGGAAAGCTAGTTAAAAGGAATTATTTGAAGGAGCAGCTCCCATCACTGTGGACTTACACATTACAGCTCTTTAATTCTAGTGATCCAGCAGTAAAGTGCTACCTAATTTACCCAGCAGTTACAATGGAAAGCTAAGAAACATTTTTTTAAATAATTTTGTAATCCTAGAAAATGAAGTATCCCTTCCAAAGGAGGCTGTGTGTTAGAAAAGCCTTTGGCTAAGCCAGATGTGTTTTAAATGCCTGAGTTCACTACTTCTGTCCTATAATGTCAAGATTGATAAAAGTCCCTTAGAATATTTAACATAATTATTTTTCTCATGCTAAAATAAAATTAACAAGGAGATTTTTTTTTTGGCATTATGCAGATATTTTGAAAAACAGTTTGAACTGGCAGAACAAACAAAATTACCAATGTTTCTTCACTGTCGGAACTCACATGCTGAATTTTTGGGTGAGTTAAAGCTAAAATCTCATTTAGAATTCAAGAATTTTGCAGAAATCAAGCAAGGTATTTGCCAAAAGTTGTTTGTTTTTAATTCACAGATATAATGAAAAGAAACAGAGACCGGTGTGTGGGTGGAGTGGTAAGTAGAAGAGTTGTTTTTAGTAGGTGATGCACAGAAGCTTCCTTGTGACCCAGGTTGGCCTCTGAAGTAATCCATATATCAGCAGTAAATATTCTTACCCCTCTTATTGGAGGACAGACTTTTACTATAGGATCTGTGGGCCAGATGTGATACCGATGTAAATCACACTGATTTAATTACATTTATTTTGTTGAAAGTAGAAGAATGATAAAGACTTTGTTTTACTCCTACATTCTAGTAGGGTGAGTGATAACTTTTTCTCTGCCTCTTCCATCAGACATTCTACAATGTCTTTCAGTTGAAATTCCAAGCAAAATATAAACTAATTTTAATAAAGTATTTTAATATTCACTTCAGGTTTGCCTTCTTCATTTCTTGCCAACTGTATTCATTTACTATTATCACTCTGATTAGAGACATTCCTTTCTGTAATTTGCTTCTACTTCTGTGTGGTCATTTCAGTCAGTTCCCATAAATAATATCTGCCTCCCACTTAGCTTAGGCATCCAAAGCAGTGTTTCTTAAATCGTTTTTGGATCATGGGTTCTTCTGAAAATTTGCCTCAGAAAAATGCTCAGAGGCACAAATTTTCACCTGTAATTTTAGGAGCGACTCACTCGTCTCTAGCAGGAAAGCTATAAAGGCATATAAACAGTCATACTAAGTCCAACTAAGTTAAGTGGAAGTGCCCTGAGCACTTACTGTATACCCACAGTGCTTTGCTTTTATAGCTTTTTCTCTGTTCAGTTCGTAGCCTCTGCTTTATGTCTCACAGACTGTTAGTGATAATGTTTTCTGCATTGCAGCGTACGTTTTTATCTACTGTTTACTGCCCTGCAGTTTATGCTTTAGGAACTGTACTTGGGAACTGAGAGAGGCTTAGAGGCTTTCATTAATGCCCTTGGGATTAATGGTTCTACCTCTTAGCCCATTTGCTGTATTTCTAAATTAAAATTTACTTAACAGCAACAAATCCAACCTAAACATTTGACTTTTATCAAAAAAAGATATTGCCAAGGGGTGCCTGGCTGCCTCAGTCAGTAGAACGTGTGACTCTTGACCTTGGGGTTGTAAGTTCAAGCCCCACACTGGCTGTAGGATTACTTTAAAAAATCTTAGAAAGAGAGAGAGAGATCACCAAATAAAACTAATTTCCTGAAATGGTTTATGAAGAGTCTTATTTAAAATTATTTTGATGGATGATATATTTTCTAGTCAGCTGGAAATGCTAAGGGGAAGAATAAACCTTTCTGGGCAGCTGTGTAACAGTTTTATTTTTGAGAAGCATGTTACTCATAGTGGATTCAGACTCTGGGTGCTGTATGAATATATTAATGACATCACTTGTTAGGTGTGTGTGTTTATATATTTATTTTTAAAAAGGTTTAGGGCAGCCCGGGTGGCTCAGTGGTTTAGTGCCACCTTTGGCCTGGGGTGATCCTGGCTACCCGGGATCGAGTCCCACGTCGGGTTCCCTGCATGGAGCCTGCTTCTCCCTCTGCCTGTGTCTCTGTCTCTCTCTCTGTGTGTGTGTGTCTGTCATGAATAAATAAATAAAATCTTTAAAAAAAAAAAGATTTATTTGAGAGAAATTGCATACACGCATGAGCAGGGGAAGGGCCGAGGGAGAGAGGAGAGAGAGAATCCCAAGCCAATTCCATACCGAGCCCCACATGGGGTTCAATCCCACAACCCATGAGATCACAACCTGAGTTGAAACCAAGAGTTGGATGTGTAACTGACTGAGCCACCCAGGTGCCCCACTTATTAGGTGTATTTAAAGAAGTGTTGTTACTGTTTTGATTACATAAATATATCTAACGTGTGAAAAACTATGCTTTAATCCCTATATATTTGAAGGAGAACAACACCATTTCATTCCTTTTTGCCTACTGAGATAATTATTACTGTGTAATAATTCACATTTTTTAGTGAGATTCTTAGAACTCTTTATAGGTCTTAAAACTTGTCCCTTAAGTCATCTGTCTTCTAGAAAAAAGTATTCCATAACATAAAAATTGAACATTTTAAGATACATTGTACATGGGTTTTTTTTTTTTTAAGATTTTATTTATTTATTCATGAGAGAGACACAGAGGCAGAGACACAGGCAGAGGGAAAAGCAGGCTGCCTGTGCGGAGCCCGATGTGGGACCTGATCCCCACACCTGGGATCACGCCCTGAGCTAAAGGCAGACGCTCAACTGCTGAGCCATCCAGACATCTCCATTTTACATGGTTTTATAACATTTTAAACTTTTCTTTTCCCATGCTTTTGCCTGAGAATGTGGCTCCCACTTCCAGTCCCCTTTCCTGGACGTACTGCAGTAATGCTGGTGCAGAGCCATCAGCACAGCCACAGAGAGAAAGTCTAGGCAGCCATCTCCCCTCTTGCCTCATACCATTGGAGATGCCCTATTTTAATTGTGAGATTGGATTTGAAAAATAAAGATTGTAGGGGCCACCACATTTAAAGCCCTCTGGTCCAAAAAAACCCTAATGCATATATACTTTTCCTTAGAAAGTCTTATTAGTGTTATTTAGGATTTTGAAGAAAGTAATTACTAAATAAAATTATACCTGTATGTCCTTAGGTGCATTCATTTGATGGTACGAAGGAAGCAGCAGCTGCCTTGATTGACTTGGATCTCTATATAGGATTTAATGGTTGGTAGGTCCTTAAGTTTGTTTTATATTAAGTAGATTCCTTGTTTTACAGTGAATTGCAGATAAAGATTTAAATGTATTTATTTATCAAATTGATCTTGGCCTGCAAATTTCAATAAGTATGTAAGAAATTATACAATATTACTCTTGCAAGTTAAAACTTGGAAGTTACAGGGCTCGGTAGAGCATGTGACTCTTAATCTTGGTTGGGGTGGTGAGTTCAAGCCTCACTTTGGGCATACAGCGTACTTAAACAAAAAAACAAAAAAAACCTTGCAAGTTATAAGCTATTAACCCTGTATCGCAGTTATGGAAAACAATTTTGTATTGAGATCAGGAGCTAGCTTTCTCTAGCAATGCAAATTATTCTCAGGTCATTTTATCCCTTTAAAACATACATGTTCTTAGCATTGTGTACGCATATACACAAGTGATATCCGACTAGGGGGCAAGTCCTACTATGACATAATCATTTTATAGATCTCTCTAGGCCACAAGAAACTGAGGCTCACAGAGGTTAAGAAATGGGTATAAAGTAACTCACAGTGTGAGAACCAGTGTCCTCTGGCTCCACGCTCACTGACCTTTCTGCTGTTACACCACACCAAACCTTGTAAACCCAGTAATAGTTAGCTAGCACAGCTGGGTCCCTGGGCTTTCCCTCTGCAGTGTTTTATTTCTTTAAAAACTACTGCTTAGCTGACTATATTATTTTTAGTAAAATATCACCTCAGGAAAATAGAACCATGAAATTATTTGTTACAGAGTTCAGACTTATTTATATGTCCTAAATGCTGCTTCTATATCTTAATAATTTATAAACCACTATGGATACATGAATAATAGATTAAAAAGTAGTTCTAAAAAAACCTGTAACCACAGTCTCCTCACCATGCCCTCTACCTGTAAGTCAGCTTTTCCAGAGACCCCCCCCACTTGCTTTTTATCGTCATATAATCTAAGTATTACATCTGTGCAGTTCTCTTAATTCACCCTGTTTCCGTTCAGGTGTGTGAGCATCTTACTTCTCACAAGCAGCACTGCCCTGCCACCTGCAGCCTTTCCTCCACAGGCTTGTCTGTGTACGGAGTTCAGAATTTTAGGTTGTATGCATCTTTATTGTGTCCATTATTATGTCTGAAAATATTGTTTACCTCTGAACTGTCAGATACACCACTTTATTTCCCTAGAGCAACTTTCCTCGTGTTTATTTACTTGGTTTTCTTCAAAGCTTGAAGCCTTCTCACACTTTCCAACCATTGTGAAAAATGCCTTTCTCTGTTTTTCCGTATGAGGAAAACTGCCTAGATAATCTGGTTGTCTAGATGACCTGTCCAGTTCCTAACCCTTCCATCTTCATTTTGGATCAGTGTCTACTCGGCGATGGAAGTCTTATTTAGATCCCGTGTAGTCAGTTTTGTTTTGCTAGAACATGTTTCAAATGAATTTATTCTGCTCTTGAAAGCTTGCCTGCATAGTTAATGAAAGAAAAACAGAAACCTTTCCACTTGTATTTTTCCTGGGCATAAAATTCTAGACTAGAAGTAATTTTCATGAGACTTTATAGGGCTCCATTTCTAGGCTAAATGTCAGTAAGTCAGTGGCTATTCTGATTCCTAGTCTTTATCCTCTGACCTACTGTTTTCTCCTGGTGGAATATTTTAGTTCTTTACCTCTGGTATTATCATACTTCACAAAGGCATTTTGATGCCTTTGTCATTCAGAGTTTGTGCACTCTATACTGGCCCATTCCAGCTAGAAGTTCATCTCTGTCAGTCCTGTTTTTTTTTTTTTTTTTCTCTGTTCTTCCTTTGGACCTCCCAGGCTCATACTGTGATCTTGTAATTTCTCTCTCTCTTTCCCCCCCTTCTTTCAAAAATATTTTTCAGCTTTTTAATAAAACTTCCAGCTTCTGGTTTTAATCTCTGAAAGTTCTTTTTTCCCCAATGGTTATCTGGTTTGACAGATACAGATAGATCTTCTTCTCTCTCTAAAGATATGAATTATAAAGTTATTTTTTGTTTGCCATATAATGCTTTTATTTCCTCTGAGTTTCTTTTCTTCTTTGTTTTAGTCTCTGTCATGACTTTCTTTAAATGTCAGGCAATTCTTATTGCCTTCAGGATCCTTCAGAGAGGGATCCTCTGATTTCTGCTGGAAAAACAGGGTGGAGATTCATAAATGTACCTGTGTTCTGGAGCAGAATAAGTTTGGAGAGGACCTCATCGACCAGTCAGCATTTGGGCTGTTTGCAGCCCCGTGCTTCACCCCTGCACTCCTCTGCACTCCTCGTTCTCCTGTCCAGTCTTTGATTTAGCTTCTCCAGAGACCGTACACACACCCCTCTCCCCCCTTCTCTCTCTCAGGCCAGGGTTAGGAAGCAGAAATAGTCATTTCTGCACCAGTTCCCTGAAAAGTAATTGAGTGTTTTGTCTTTTCTGTTCCCCACTTTTTAAAGCAGCCCTCACTCAGTCCCTTGCCTTATCACAACCTAAGTACCTAGATCTTTCATTTCCTAGAACTTCTTGGGTGAGTTGGTTTGCTTGTCTTCAGTCTTTCCTTGCAGGCACATGGCACATAAGTCACTTAGCACATAAACAGAGATCATTTATCATTTTACTGTCTATTTTCTGCTTTATAGTTTTGTTACTAAGAGAAATATCTCCTAGTTTCACCAAAAAATGTTTCTGGTTTTGTTTTATTTTGTTTTTTTAATTTTGAAATGATTTTTAAGACAAGATGATAGGGGTGCCTGGGTGGCTCAGTCAGTTGAGCGTCTGTTGATTCAGCCTAGATCATGGTCTCAGGGTTGTGGGATTGGACACTGTTGGGCTCCATGCTCACAGCGGAGTCTGCCTGAGATTCTCTCTCTCTCCTTCTGTCCCTCTCCTGGCTTGCACTTTAAATAAAATATTAAAAAAAAAAAAAAAAAAAGAGGGTAGAAGGCCTTTATTTCATCAACTTGAAATATACATCTTAAAAGATTTCTGTATGACCTTGAATTTATAAGGATATGGCTTTAAGTTAATGACATGAGGGTTTTTTTTTCCTATATTAACTCAGTTAATGTTTAATCAGTTAATATCTCTATTCTTATTCTGAAATTCAATGTATTATAGTCTTAATCTGACTCTCAGTTATAGTAATTGAGTCTATACTGTGACATAAAGTCTGGTTTCTAAGGATTGAATTATAACATTTTCCTCCAAGAAAATGGGACAGTTTCAGATTTGACTACAGAATCCTGTAGCTGCTTGCCCTTAAATGGGAAACCTTATTAAAGATATAATTGGCTTTGATTTAAAAATATTTCTTCTGGTAGTGTATATTTCTGTATTTAGATCACTTTTTACAATCATGGAATATAGGTAGTAAAAGACTAAGTCAGGCATGATTTCTTTTCAAGAGATTAAAATATGCAATTATAATAATTTATTAATTTATTTTATAAATTAATAATTTATAACTGGAAGTTATAAATTTAGTACATATATCAAGCCGATCATTTTGAAAATACTCATATTGATCAACTGTTAAGCTAGCTGAAAATAAGTTTTGTTTTTTTCTAGAGAACACTAATAAAAAGGCTGGTATTTATGGCAAACTAGACACACATTTCCCTTTCAAACCTGTCCTAAAATCATTCTAAAGTAAAATCCTACATATTCAAAATGGAAAACCAGTAAGAGCGAAGAAACAAGACTGGACTTTCTGTAATAGACAACTTAGACTAAAGGGCCCCAGAGGAGACGGGAGCAAAATATAGCAGGCAAAATCTCAGAGAGGCTTTGGGTTTTAGAATTAGTGATAAATAGGACCAAATTGTGACTGAAGGCCTTCTAGAGAAAGATATATCACTCCTTATAGTGGTTGCCTTGCAGCAAGCATTTCTACTCAAAGAGAAAAATCTTTTCTCAAGAAAATGGAACAAACCTAACTAAGAGCCAAGACCTGGAATTCTTATGCTGATCCCAGAGGAAAGCCTTTAGAGAAGCAAAAGCCTTGCAGCTCCCTCCCTTTTCATTCTTAAATGAAATTACAGATCTGTATGCCCATTCCTGGCCTATCCCACAAGGAACTTACCCACTCAGAGAACTGGCAGTAAAACAGTCTTCTGTTTTCACAGAAGCAGAGGGAACACAACACTGGCAACTCAAGTCTTCTTAAGTATAAATTGGTAATTAAGGACCACTAGATAAATGAGATGAATCAACAGAAGGAAAAAGACCAAGATAAGCAGAAAAGTTAACACCAGAGGAAACAATTTAGGGAAAGAACTAAAGAGACCTGATATAGTAAAGGTTAAGATGTTAAGTTCATAAAATATGAACAGACTATTACAAGAAAAAGAACATAAAACTAAGAGTTCCTTAATGATTAGAAATGAATGTCTGTATTAATACCACCATTGGAGAAAGTGAGGGAATCAACACATTCAACAGCAAGATACATATTTTTGCCCTCTACCAACTACCATTGGGTACCTAATAGTAGACATAGGAACTTTTTATACCAGTATTCTAGTAAATAAAGGGCTGATAGAATTCTATCAACATTCTGCAGATTCTGGTGAATTAAGAGGCCTAAGCACTGGGCATCCATGGCTGCCTCCTATCAGAAAATTAAAGTCTTGCCAAAAAAGGAAAAAATCCAACCTGAATCTGGTCAGGATTCTAGATGGTACTCTAGATACCCTGTGAGAAATACAGAGGACAGAATTTTTCTTCATGTTGACAAGACCAGGGAATATAGTGGAGTAGGAGGATCCGACTTCCTCCCACAGACACGCTCAGGCAACAATTGCAAGTAACGCAACTCATTTCAGAAAATGACCTAAGTAGCAGAACAGCTCTTCCACACTACAAAGTAAAAGCCACACTGAGAAGGGTGAGGAGGAGCAGAGACATGGTGGGCAACCACAAGTGTGGAGTGGTAACTCACAACCAGGAGCGATATCACAGGTGTAGAGGTCCTCCCTGAGGAGTGAGGGGATCAAGCCCCCGC